TTGCAAACACCTCATTTATCCTTTAAGTTTAGTAGTCATCGTAGTCATTGTCATCCCCCTCCCCTCCCCTCCCCTCCCCTCTCCTCCTGCTCCTCCTCTTGCTCCTGCTCCTCCTCCTCCTCATAATTCTTCTCTTCTTCCTCCTCTCCCTCCTCCTTCTCCTTCCCCTTCTGCTCCTCCTGCTCCTCCTCCCCTCCCCTCCCCTTCCTCTTCCTTTTGGGAGACCATAGATGCTCATTCATCCTTTAGGTCTGGTCCTCCTCCTCCTCTTGTGAGACCATGCAGATGCTGTGTCTTGGTTGGATTTGAGTGAGTGCTGTCACCATGTGAGCAGTTTGTGGGAGACTTAGCTGACAACTTGATTCTTAGTGTTTGTTAATAATTTCTAAGTTCTGGGATGGTGGCTGTCTCCTGAGTTTATTACACAAATGATTTAGCTTCAAAGTCATAACATTTATTGGGCACCTAACTGAGTCAGTCACAATGCTAACCACTTTACATGTGTATCCACACGTACTTCTCATGAACTGTGATGCATAGGTATTTTGCCCATTTTGTAGGCCAGCAAAATGAGGTGGGGGAGTTTAATCATAACTCTTAATTAGAGGGATTACCTTAGGAATCTTGGAGATGTAGCTTGTAATACGCAGAATATTGTGTATTGGTTTGCATTGATGACTGTGTGGAAAATATTTATACCCGTGTCTGAAGTTACTAATAGCAAAACGATTTAGACTTTTATCTGTGTGTGTGTGCGTGTGCCTGTGTGTGTCTGTACACATACTGGGGCTTGAACTTGGCTTTATGCCATTTATTAGCTTTTTACTCCCTCAAGACCTGGTGCTCTACCACTTGAGCCACTCTCTACTTCTAGCTCCTTGCTGGTTAATTGCAGGTAAGAATCTCAGATTGATCTCTGCTTGCTGGTTTCTAACCTTGATCCTCAGATCTCAGTCTCTCTCAGCTATGATTACAGACATGGGCTGCTATTATAGGCATGAACCACTGGCTCTGGCTAGACTTATGTCTTTGTAATCAGACTCAGTCCTTCATTTCCTCACCAGTCAGATAAAGAAATGCCTGCTTTGCTGGGGCCAGTCCAGCAAAGTGTTCTTCCTGAGAAAAGCGTTGCCTGTTCCCTCATCTATTGAAGTAGAATACTGGTGTTCAGGCTGCGTTCCTTCCTCTCTTCTGCTGATGCTCCATCACCTTTGAAACCTGGTACCCTAAGTACAGTATTTGTGGGTCATGCTTCCTCCATGGGGTGTATTCTGTTAAAACTTACATCAAGTAAGAATACTAAGCCAGGCTGGGAAGGTGGCTCAAGGGTAGAGTGCTTGCCTTGCATGCATGAGGCCCTGGGTTTGATTCCTCAGCACCACATACACAGAAAAAGCTGGAAGTGGGTGCTATAGCTCAAATGGTAGAGTGCTAGCCTTGAGCTGAAGAGCTCAGGACAGTGCCCAGCCCAGAGTTCAAGCTCCATGACCAGCAAAAAAAAAAAAAAAAGAAAGAAAGAAAAGAAAAAGAATACTAAGCCAAGCGTGCCAGCTCCTGCTTGCAATCCCAGCACTCAGGAAGCTGAAACAGGAGGATCCCAACTTCCAGGTCAACCTGGGCTGCATAACAAGACTGTCTCAAAACAAAAGTGAACGTTAGTCATCTTCTATATTCCCATTAGGTGTTACTTACACCTTTGGTCTCTACTTTCCATTTTGTTTATATATGTGGCATATTAATGTCTGAAAGTTGAGTGACTGGATAATAAGTTGTCATATGGTTACCTTCTGAATAACTGTATTAGCATTTGGATGGTCATTGTTTGCTTCAAATATCTTGTGGCTAGGAAAGATATTTACAGGATTTAAGGATGTTTTATGTGTGAGGGAGGTGTTTTGTCTGTTGTAGCTAGAACTAGAGAGCAGGTAGTGTTACCTTTGTCACCTGTTTTGTAGATGGCTTTCGTAGCCTGGAGGTTTTCTTTTTTTGTTTTTGTTTTTGTTCTTTTGGATCCGGTCGTGGGGGCTGAACTCTGGGCCCGGACACTGTCCCTCAGCTCTTCGGCTCAAGACTAGCACTCTACCACTTGAGCCACAGCGCCACTTCCGGCTTTTTTCTTTTTGCTTATGTGGTGCTGAGGAATCGAACTCAGGGCCTCATGCATGCAAGGCAAGTGCTCTATCACTGAGCCACCTTCCCAGCCCCTAGCTTGGAGGTTTTCTGTTGTGTTTTCTATTAGTTTTCTGTCACTGGTGGGATATATCACTACCAACTTAGTGCTTTAAAATGATAGAAATTTGTGTTATGATAGTTTTGCGTAAAATCAAAGTGTTGGCTAGATATATTACAGAAAGGAGAAAAGATGAAGGAAATAATTTATTAAGAAATTTATTAACAATTTAGCCAGGGTGTTGTAGATGACTAGCAATGAATTGGAAATATACCCAGATCTAGGAAACCCATCTGAGGAAGAGTCAACCAATGAAAGTCAGCTTGTCTGTTTCCTGTAAGTTGGTGGTTCAGGGAAATAAATCATTGGTGACATTAAATTGTGATTGAAGGTGTGCTCCATCCTCTCCAAACATAGTACATACATAGCCTTAAAACTCACGTTTGAGTATAGCTTTGGGGATTCACACCCCTTCCACTTGAGATTAAGAATTTTTAGTCTTGAGAACAGTTTGCTCTGTAATCATGTGTAGATAGTTCTATTATTAGATTTGTCCAGGTAACATTTTCTTTGTAGTTCAGTATAATAACAGTATCCTACAAAGTAATCATAAAATTATATTATTAAGAGAGCAAAAATCTGTGAAGTAAGCAGGTATGCTTGTGTGGCTAAGGCCCACGTTCTAGTCCATGCATGGTGTCTGTGAAGTACGCAGGCTTGCTTGTGTGGCTAAGGCCCACGTTCTAGTCCATGCATGGTGTCTGTGAAGTACACAGGCTTGCTTGTGTGGTTAAGGCCCACGTTCTAGGCCATGCATGGTGTCTGTGAAGTAAGCAGGTTTGCTTGTGTGGTGAAGGCCCACGTTCTAGGCCATGCATGGTGTCTGTGAAGTAAGCAGGTTTGCTTGTGTGGCTAAGGCCCACGTTCTGGTCCATGCATGGTGTCTGTGAAGTACGCAGGCTTGCTTGTGTGGCTAAGGCCCACATTCTAGTCCATGCATGGTGTCTGTGAAGTAAGCAGGTTTGCTTGTGTGGTGAAGACCCACGTTCTAGGCCATGCATGGTGTCTGTCAAGTACGCAGGCTTGCTTGTGTGGCTAAGGCCCACGTTCTGGTCCATGCATGGTGTCCTGCTGCTGTGCCACCACATGGTGGAGGACAAGGTGGCCTTTTGGGCTCGCTTCCAAGGTCACTAACCCAACCATGTGATTTTTCTTATGAAGCCATAAGAAAAGCCATATTTCCTAAAGACTCTTACTTGGGCAGTTAGGATTTCAGTAACTTTTGACACAAACACTTGGACTGTAACAATAGATGTATGTATTCTAGAATTTTTTTTTTAAGGAATGGAGCTGTGGCTCAAAGTGATAGAGCACTAGACTTGAGCCAAAGAGCCCAGGGATAGTGCCCCAGCCTTGAGTTCAAGCCCCGTGACCAAAAAAAAAATTTTTTTTTTTTGAATTTAAGATCAATTCCTGTTATTGCATGTAAAGTATACCTCAGTAAATTACACATACAAAAATTTTAAACCACTAGGAAGCCTCTCAGACAAGCATGGTGACAAGAACCAAGTTAAAAGATGTTAAACAAGTTAAAAGACATCAGGAGGCCCCGAACTGTTATGTAGGGCCTCAGGTGATACTCGTACCCTGAGGAGTTTAAGTTATATTCAGCACAATTTCCTAAGAGGGCAGCACAGTGTACTACTCTTAGGGCCTTATTACAAATTGTTTAAAGTGCTTAGGTGTCAGACATGTAGAACATTTAAAACATTAAACACATAGCTTAGGTTCTATGTTAAGAATCATTGTCAATACTGGGAAGTGATTTACAAACAAAGTGAGAAATTGGCTTTTGTAAATATTTTTATTATAATAAAAGTGATATGGGGGGGGTTATAGTTACCTAAGTCAGATAAAAAGTACATTTCTTTTTGGACAGTGTTACCCCTTCCCTCACTGTCTCCCAGTTTTTCCCTCTTGTCCCCACCCACAAGTTATATAGTTCATTTTCAACATAATGTCTAGTGAGTACCACTTTTGAATTTGAATATTGTCTAAGACTGGGTGCTGGTGGCTCATACCTATAATCCTAGCTACTCAGAAGATGGAGATGTGAGGATTGCAGTTCAAACCCAGCCCAGCTAGGAAAGTGTGAGATTCCTATCTTCAGTTAACTACCCAGAAAAGGGCTGAAGTGGAGCAGTGTCTCAAGTATTAGAGCACAAAAGCTCTTGAGCACAAAAGCTTAGCGGCAGTGCCACAGGACCCGAGTTCAAGTCTCAGGTTCGGCACCAAAAGAAGTCTGCCAAAAGAAGGTATGAAAAGATCCTGCAGGTCCATTTGTGATTGATAAACATTTGTTTTCATATATTTTATGTAAATAATTTAGGCTTCCAGTTGCTACAAGAAATAAAAAATGTGGACTATGAGCTTAAGCGCATTTTGTTTATAATATACTCCATAGCTTTGTAAATTTAGAGACAATTACATGCTGAAATACAGCTGTGATTTGTCTGGTTGTTATGCTGCAACAGATGGACATATGGACAAGTTTGATGGGGACCTACATCGTTCTGGTGCTGCTCCCCTAGGTCCTTGTTCAGATCGGATGTGTGTTGCCTGTGGAGGTGATGAGCTGAAGCTAGGTTCTGACATCTTCTGTTACTAGGTCATCTTGAACGGCTAATGAAGTAAGGCCCGGGTGAGGACTGTTGTGGAGGGAGGGCGTGGAGGCACCAGTCTCCACGGCCTTTGTTTTCTCAAGGGGGATTGGCCACGCGTCTGGTTTGTGTCTGTGGAAGAGCTGACTGGAGTCTCTGCGTCTTTCCAGCAATAGTTACGCACGTGTGCGAGCCGTGGTGATGACCCGGGATGACTCAAGCGGCGGGTGGCTGCCACTCGGAGGGAGCGGGCTGAGCAGCGTCACTGTCTTCAGAGCCCCCCGTCCCGAGGAGAACGGCTGCGCCGGCCTCTTCATCCGGGGAGAGCGACTCAGGGACAAAATGGTAATGAACGACTAAGTGCTGAAAGTTGAAAGTTATGTTGACTGAGTTATCGCTGAGAATTACTTTTGCCGATGACTCTCTAGTTACCTTTTGGCAGCTGTTAAAGACAGTTTTTCTGGATCTGATGTTAATGTACACTTGTGCCGAGTGCTGCTTTTCGGTTTAGGGCAAATGAAGAAATGTGTATGACCAGTTGCACCCTGCTTCCCTTTCTCCCAATTTTCCTAAAGGATCAGAGGTTGTCAGACTAGTCTGTGATCAGATTTAGTCCATCTGTCTCTGTCTCTGTCTCCGTCTCCCTCTCTCCCTCTCCTCTCTGTCTCTCTCTCTCTTCCCCTCCCCTCCTCTCCGATCTCAACCTCATGAGTAGCTATGATTAAAGGCACCAGTCACTAGTGCCCAGCAGTTTCTTTGATTTTTATAAAACTATTCAAATGATCTCTTTCATCTTAGCTGAGTTTGAGTAATCTATGATTTCAAATTGTTGCTTCATTTCTTTGAAATTTTTAAATTTATGAACATAAAGTTCTTAACCTTTGTTAAGTGAAGGAAGTTTCTCATTTGTTGCATTCCTTTGTGTGAGCATGGTTTGGTTATCTCAGCATTTCCTGCTTGTGCCATGGGTTATTATACCAGCCAGGCAGAAGCATCTGTGATGAGACCCTTATCTCCATTTAACCAGAAAAAAGCCAAAAGTGGAGGAGTTTCTTGATGGCAAAGTGCCAGCCTTGAGTGGAAAAGGCTAGGGGGAGAGCTTAAGGCTCTGAGTAGCCTGTGCAGGTGCGCACACATGCACACACACACACGCACGTGTGCACACGCTCATACACACACACGCGCATGCGCACACGCACATACACTCACACACTCATATTCAGAAAGATATCAGTAAAAAATTTTTCAGTTTATTTTTAGTTACCAACCATACTACTTTTTAGCACCATTTGCAAATGTTTAATTATTAACTACATGTAAAGGGAACTATAATAAGATACCTATTAGGTTAAAATTGTATATTTAATTTTATTCCCTCAAATTATTAGTAAAACAACAGAACAATAATGTACTTACACGACTTGTTTGGTCTGTTTTAAAGGCTTTGGGCAAACATTATGGTAATTTTATGATGAGAATTTTGCTCTGTAATTCTCAAGATAATTAGAACATATTTTAAGATTTAGTTGTTTAATGATCATAGTTTTCTTGCTTTTTTTTTCTCCCTCTAAATTATTACTCCAAAATTAGTTTTAGATAAAGGAAAAATGCTGGAGTTGAAGCTTTTTTTTTTTTTTTGTCGGTTGTGGGTCTTGAACTCTGGGCGTGGGTGCTGTCCAAGCTCTTCAACTCCAGGTGAGTGCTCTACCACTTGAGCCACAGAGCCACTTCTGGTTTTCTGGTAGTTAGATCTGGCTTTGAACCTTGATCCTCATATTTGAGCCTCCTGAGTAGCTAGGATTTACAGGTGTGCATGAGCCACCAGTGCCTGGCCTTGGTGGGTTTTTTGTTTTTTTTTTTAAATCAAATGAGAGTCTTCACAATAAACCTTTGAGTCTTGGGTGTCTGAATTTATCATCCAAGCTCCTCCTCTTCCTGCCTGTGCAGAGAATCTCTCCATACATAATGGCTGCCCACCTCCTGACGGGTGACGATGTGGCACCAGCCACTGGCATTGCCATCGCTTGTGGTGTTCATTGATGGTTTATCTTTAGCTTGATTATGTATGTATGTGTATGTATGGTATACATGTGTATACATGCACATGTGCACATGCATGCCAATCCTAGGGCTTGAACTCAGGGCCTGAACACTGTCTTTTATAGCTTTTTGTAGTTGTTGTTCAAGGCCAATGGTCTGCCACTTGAGCCACAGCTCTATTTTGGCTTTTTGGTGGTTAATTGGAGATAAGAGTCTCACAGAATTTGCTGTCTAGGATGGCTTAAAACCATGATCCTCAAATCTCAGCCTCCTGAGTAGCTAGGATTACAAGGTGGAAGGGTTTTGGGGAAGCAGGGAGTGAGGAAATAAAATGTTTATTACCAGATTCCCCTCCCCCCTCTATTTTTCTTAGAAATATTGTGTGCAGTAGAAGTGTGCATTTTTGAAATGACAATGTGATAAACATTATGTTCACAACTTGCATGTGACCACATCTTAAATCATTTTAATGTGTGGCATTGTGAAGTAGATTAAGACTTTTGTATTAATAAATTTATTTTTTAGATACTCATGACTATTTTTATGAGATGATTTTGATTTATGTATATTAACTTCAGCATTTGACTTTTGGCAGGTGGTTTTGGAATGTATGCTTAAAAAAGACCTCATTTATAATAAGGTCACTCCCACATTTCACCACTGGAAGATCGATGACAAGAAGTTCGGCCTCACCTTTCAAAGTCCTGCTGATGCTAGAGCTTTTGATAGAGGCATTCGGAGAGCTATAGAGGATATTTCTCAAGGTAGGAGTTTTCAAAAATACTTTTTGAAGGGCTAGGAATGTGGTTTAGTGGTAGAGTGTTTGCCTAGCCTGCACAAAGCCCTGGGTTCAATTCCTCAGTACCACATAAACAGAAAAGGCTGGAAGTGGCACTTTGGCTGAAGTGGTAGAGTGCCAGCTTTGAGCAAAAGAGGCTTAGGAACAGCGTCCAGGCCCCAAGTTCAAGCCCCAGGACTGCCGAAAATAAATAAATAAATAAATAAATAAAATGTTTGAATAGTCTTACATATATAGATACATTAATATATATGTATATTAATTAAAAGCTACCTTTCTTAAATGTTGACCCACAGCAATTTTAAAAAGTCAGCTTTCGTGTTAGTGGCCAGACTTCGAAAGCTCACAGTGAGTAAAGCTAAGTTGTGAGCTCTTAGCCCACTTTGTATTTCTCAAATCACAGTCAGTCTACACCGCTTGCATGTGTCATCATGAAGCATCTGCCAGGAACCTGCAACTGAGTAGCTCAGAGTCTGAAGCAGAGGAGACATGAAGGTAGCGTCATCAAGTCCCAGTGAGGTGTGTGCTGTTACATCAGTCACGCCGCTGCCTCCTCCACTTCCTCCTCCAGGATTAGACAGAAACTTAGAATGTGCAAATTGTGTGGACACTACCTATTCACTGACAAAACTACTTGCTCACCTGTTCCTTTATAAATCTGACCAATCCTAAGGCATCTAGAGTCTAGATGGAGGAAGTTTATTTTCAGATAAGACTGGCCTAATGCTTATTTAGGCAAAAAGAAATAACCAATTTCTTTTTTTGGGGGGGACGGTGTCCGGTCGTGGGGCCTGAACTCTGGGCCCGGGCGCTGTCCCTCAGCTCTTCAGCTCAAGGCTAGCGCTCTACCACTTGAGCCACAGCACCACTTCCGGCTTTTTGCTTTTTGCTTATGTGGTGCTGAGGAATCGAACTCAGGGCCTCAGGCATGCAAGGCAAGCGCTCTACCACTGAGCCACCTTCCCATCCCAGAAATCACTATTTCTATAAAGGGAGAAACAGCTGAGCTTTGATTTCTTTCTAATGAAGAAAGTATGTTTATATAAGTAGCACTAACTTTATATATAAAGTAACGAGTCAAAGTTTTTTAGCCAGGCATGGTGGTGCTTATCTGTAATCCCAGTATTTGGGAGATTAAGGCAGATAGATTGTGAATTTGAGGTCCACCCAGGCTCCATATGAGACCCTGTGAAGAAAGAAGGGAAGGAGGAAGGCAGCAAAGTTGAGTGGGATGCATTATGCTTTATTTTTCCAGATCGCATTTTATAGGAAAATTAAGAAATGAACAACTTGTAAAATAAATCATAGTTAAAAATGTGGAAATGCTTAGTACAAATGTTTTGATAGTACATGAAACTGCTGAATAATTTCTTTTAGCTACTTTGTTTTTTTGTTTTTGTTTTTGGTGGTTGTGGGGCTTTTAGCTACTTTGTAAGCGTGATACTTGGTAAACAAGTGGTCTTTGGTTTTTAACTTGGGAGATTTTTCACAAAATGTCAGGAGGAGGAACAGTCTCTTTAGTGAGGCTCCTGTGGGGGTGTCTGGCCGGAGACTGTGGAGGTGGAGGGACTGCCCTGCCCCGCCCCACACCAGGCATCCACACCTTCCAAAAGCTCCAAGGAAGTCCAGAAGCGGTAGAGAATTGTAGTATGCTCAAACGATTAAATTAACTTGAATTTGAAAAAAAAAAAAGATAGACAAATGGGCATGAATCCTAGGGGTTAATGTGTATGTGTGCATACTATACTACCGGCGCTTGAAGTCAGGGCCTTGTACTCTTGCTTGACTTTTTCACTTAAGACTGGTACCACGGGGCTGGGAAGGTGGCTCAGTGGTAGAGCGCTTGCCTTGCAAGCATGAGGCCCTGGGTTCCATTCCTCAGCACCACATAAGCTGGAAAAAACCAAAGTGGCGCTGTGGCTCAAGTGGTAGAATGTTAGCCTTGAGCTGAAGAGCTGAGGGACAGTACCCAGGCCCAGAGTTCAGGCCTCACACCGACAAAAAAACCCCAAAACTGGTACCACTTACCACAGCTACACTTTAGCCTTTTTGCTGGTTAACTGGAGATAAAGTCTCTTGAATTGTCTACTTTGAACCTTGATCCTCAGATCTCAGCCTGTTGAGTAGAATTACAGATGTAAGCTACTAGCGCCTGGCTTGAATCCTAAGATTCTTGAGCTGTGGTTCTGGTATAGGAACCTTGTCTGATGCCCTGTGCCTCACTTTCACAAGATGGTGAGGAATATTAAAATCTAAGGCCTAAAATTTGTGTGCTTAACTTTGATCTGTTTCCTAGGGTGCCCACCATCGAAAAACGAAACTGAAGGGACAGAAGATGACTTACAAGTAAGTAGTGTGGCTTGAAAGGAATTTCTAAACAGGACGAATCTCGGGAAGTCATTAGGCTTCATAAATAAACAACTTGTAAACTGAGGAATTAGATTACAGGCTGTGGAGCTGCACTCTGCGGGGCAGGCCGAGGGGACCGCGGCAGTGCCATTCCAGCAGCCCTCAGCCTCCTCCCTCACTCCACATGTGCTGTGGTAAAGGAGCGACACATCTGGAACACAGCTCCAGCTACCTCTGGGGCACTTGATGGTGCGGGGCACCACACTTCCAAGGCAGAATGAAGTTAACCCCAGGAACACCCTTCCCCAGGGGGGAATAAAAGGGAAGGTCACAGAAGAGGAAGGCAGCATGCTGATACGCATGTGGACACCTTTGCATTTAGTTCACTGGTGACCCACAGGCTGTATAAATCAAGGTAAACTAGTAGTTTTAGTTACCACATGATCAAAGATTTTTAAAATGCTTCTTGTCCGTGCTATGTCTATCTGAAAATGACAGGTTGATGCCCTGCTGAGAAAATGCAAATTAGTATATATTTGTCTACAAAGCAGTTGTCACCATGTATTTTTTTTTTAAAAAAAAACATATGGAGGGGGCTGGGAAGGTGGCTCAGTGGTAGAACGCTTCCCTTGCATGCCTGAGGCCCTGGGTTCAATTCCTCAGCACCACATAAGAAAAAAGCCGGAAATGGCACTATGGCTCAAGTGGTAGAGTGCTAGCCTTGAGCTGAAGAGCTGAGGGACAGCGCCCAGGCCCAGAGTTCAGGCCCCATAACCGGACCCAAAAAAAAAAAAAAAACCATATGGAAACATTCACTGCCTGTTGAACTAGTGAATTTGTAGTGGTATATATCAGAGACAGAGATATTTGAAAATATTTATGTGTGGATTTGGTGTATATTTATGTGTGTATATATTATTGGATTAAAGATAAGGAACTTCATAAACTAGCTAAGAGCAGGATAACAGGGATAGTTTTAAAACATACCCCTGTTAGGCAACCATTGAAAAATGCATTGTTTACAAATGTGCTTGTCATATACTGAGCAGTACTTGTAAAACAAATGGTTTGGTGGTTTCCTCATAATCTGTTTCCCCCTATACACAAACGTAAATATATAGCTATATTTTCTATATCCTTAAATACTCATATCTTTGCACTTTTTTTTTTTTTTTTTTTTTTGGTCGGTCATGGGGCCTGCGTGCTGGGCCTGGGCACTGTCCCTCAGCTCTTCAGCTCAAGGCATAGTGCTCTACCACTAGAACCACAGTGCCACTTCTGGGTTTTTCTGCTTATGTGGTGCTGAGGAGTTGAACCCAGGGCCTCATGCATCAAGGCAAGCACTCTACCACTGAGCCATCTTCCCAGCCCCTCTTTGCACTTTTTAAAATTGTTTTTGTTTTGTTTTTGTAGTACTGGGGTTTGAATTCAGTACTTCTCGGTTTCTAGGTAGGCTGGTATTCTACTACTTGGACCAGCCCTCCAGCCCTGCTTCTTGCTCTAGTTATTTGGAGATAAGTCTAAAGAACTTCTGTCTAGACTGACCTTACATCACAGTCCTGCAGGTCTCAGCCTTTTGAGTAGCTAGGATTACAGGTGTGAGCCACCGTGCTGGATCACATTGACAGTTCTTTCAGTTGTTCTTTGGTTAAAATTCAGTTTGTACAGAGTTTTGTATACTGTGAATAGTCACTCCTTATTTGGTAGTGTTTCATTTTGCTAGTCTTCTGGTTTGATTTTACTTAATTTTCATAAATAACAGCAGGACAAAGATACAGGATATAATTGCTTGCAAGACTTTTCATGGAATAGTCAGCTGACCTTGTAATATCAGACAGGGAAGGGAAGAGAAGAAAGAAGACAGAGGCCAGATTTAGTGGCTTACAACCATTCTTCTAATTTAGTAGAAGGATCTTTTTTTTTTTTTTTGGCCAGTCATGGGGCCTGAACTCTGGGCCTGGGCGCTGTCCCTCAACTCTTCAGCTCAAGGCTAGCGCTCTACCATATGAGCCACAGTGCCACTTTTGGCTTTTTTTGCTTATGTGGTGCTGAGGAATCGAACCCAGGGCCTCATGCATGCAAGGCAAGCACTCTACCACTGAGCTACCTTCCCAGCCCAGTAGAAGGATCTTGAGTTCAAGGTCCTGAGCTACATACAACCTGGAATGCATTAGCTAGACTCCGTCTCCAAAGAACAAAATAGGAAGGAAGAAAAATCTAAGCAAACCCAGTACAGTGATGTAACCCAGTGTTTGATTGTGGTGACTTGGGTTATTCTAGTTATAGTAGGTAAATTCAGCAGTAACACTTTAAGAATCAAGCCGGGTGTCGGTGGCTCATGCCTGTAATCCTAGCTACTCAGGAGGCTGAGATCTGAGGATCGAGGTTCAAAACCATCCCGGGCAGGAAAGTCCATGAGACTCTTATCTCCAATAAACCACTAGAAAACCGGAAGTGATGCTGTGGCTCAAGCAGTAGAGTGCTCGCCTTGAGCTGAAGAGCTGAGGGACAGCGCCCAGGCCCAGAGTTCAAGCACCATGACCCACCAAAAAAAAAGAATAGTGCTAAAAGCAATCTTAGTAAAATGCATGAGAACTTTTGAAAACATTTACTTTGTTGCTAACCATTTTAAGCATCTAAAAGCAGTGTTTTTCGGGGAGCTGTCACTGGGGTTTGAATGAGGGCTCTCATACCCTCGGTAGGTGCTACATTACTTGAGCCATGCCCTATCTCTTTCCATCTTAGTTATCTCTTAGGGTCTTGTTTTGTTGTTGTTATCGGGCTGGCCTTGTACTGAGATCTTCCTTTCTCCAAGTCCTTGTTGCTAGGATTACAGGTACATATCAACACTCCTGAAATTATTTGTTGAGATAGCTATGTGGCATAGTGGCCTTCCATTTCTTCCTAAGTTATTTTCAACATGGAAGTCAATTCTGCTTATAAAGTTGGTTTTCTGTCTTCCCTGCTGTTTTCTGTTGGCATGGTTCCCTAGTCACGTACACTTGAGCTTAGGGATTGTTATTTATGGTGTCACTGGTGGTGATGTATACTTGCTAAACATTCAGGTAGGAGAGTGTGCGTGTGTGTGCGTGTGTGCGTGTGTGCGTGTGTGTGTGTGTGTGTGTATGAACGAACATGAACTCAGGGCCAGGACACTGTTTCCCAGCCTTTTGCTCAAGGCTAGTGCTCTACCACTTGAGTTGCAGCTCCACTTCCAGTTTTTTTGAACTAAGAGTCTCACAGACTTTGCTGCCTAGGTTATAGACATTGATGCCCCCTTAAGTACCTTATTTTGTTGGACTTTTTGTCTGATAAGTAATTAAAGTTGATGGTTGTTTCCATTAGGCAACTGAAGAAGACACTTGTAGTTCTCTGGTGAAAGATCACCTTTTTCCACAAGAGACGGTTGTCACCAGTGACCCCTACAGAAGCTCCAGTGTGAGACCGTCTCCCCTTGAAGACCTGAGCGCCAGGAGGGCGTACTTGCAAAGCCAAGGCAGTCAGGTGAGAAGGTGTTTTCACCAGTGGCCACATGTGGGACTGCATACATTAGAGGAAGGCATTGCACCCTCTCCCCTTTGCCAAATCAAATAAACGGCCACAGATGGCAAGGACGCTGGAAGAAAATGATTGTCAGGGGGTCCAATCCAGAGTGTGGCAACAGAGGAGGACCATGAACGCCTGTGTGGCCGCACCACGTAGACCTTAAATTTGACTTGAAATTTTATGGTGGCAAAGCCATAAATGGGAAATGCACTTGGCAACATTTTCTTCATTTAAGGGTGTATCAGGGAAAGCTAGACTTTTTTTTTTTAGAAAAACACATGTCATTACCAAATTGAATCATTTAGGTACAGATGCTAAACCTTCATGCCACACAAAGAATATAGGTAATATTCCACATTTTAGTTATCTGGTCAAAGTAGTAGATGTCATTATGGTTTGTTTTTTGTATTTTCCGTTGTGGGGCTTGAACTCTGGGCCTGGATGCTGACTCTTAGCTCATCAGATCAAGGCTAGCATTCTACCTTTTGAGCACCACTTCCAGTTTTCTGGTGGTTTATTGGAGATAAGAGTCTTGAGGCCTTTCCTGCCCGGCTGGCTTTGAACCACGATCCTCAGACGATCTCAGCCTCCTGAGTAGGTAGGATGACAGGCGAGCGCCACCAGCAGCTGCTTCCTTAGGGTTTTTAAAAGGTGTAGTTCTCATATCCACACACACGTATACTGTGTAGCCCCGGCTGTGTTAGCTCTGTGAGCCTCTGGTCTCAAATCCTGGAGGCCACCGCACAGCTCCAGGATCACCTTCTTAGAACTGACTTGGGGACCTTGCAGCTGTCCTCGCTATTGCATTCCAGAGCATTTCATCACTCCCTGTGTGCTGCGAGGGTCAGTGGCCTCACGCCCGCCCGCGGCCACTGACCCACCCGGTCCGTGCTCCCTCCTCTTTGTGGTTGAAGAATCTTCTGTTAGCCCTGTGTGGAAGGTTTTTCTTCCTGATTACTACATTTCATTTATAAAATCATAGGTACTTGGATTGCTTCTACTGTCTTGGCTGCATAATACTTGGTAAATCTTAAGTGTTTAAGATCTATCTAAATTATTTCTTTCCCCGAAAAATAAAATGAGGGAGGAAATGACTCCATGCTTTTTTCTTTTTTGGGTCCGGTCATGGGGCTTGAACTCTGGGCCTGGGCACTGTCCCTCAGCTCTTCAGCTCAAAATAAGCACTCTACCACTTGAGCCACTGTACCACTTTTGGTTTTCTGGTGGTTAATTGGAGATGAGAGTCTCACAGACTTTCCTGCCCTGGCTGGCTTTGAACCGTGATCCTCAGATCTCAGCCTCCTGAGTAGCTAGGATTACAGGCTTGAGCCACCAGCGCCCTGCTCCATGCTTTTTATAAAAACCATTTTTTTTAACTTTTTTTTATTGTAAAGATACTATACCAAGGGTTACAATTACATGAGTGAGGTAATGAGTACACTTCCTATTGAGCATTGTTACCCCCCCCCAATGTTTTCCCCCTACCATCCCTTCCCTCCCTACTTTCCCCGAGGTTCTTTTTTTTTTTTTGATTGTGATTAAGTGATTACATAATTTCCCGAATTTCACAGTATTGTGGAATAATGACGCTCATTTAAAGTCACAAGTTCATTCTAACTTTCCTGGAGCAAATTGTCTATCATAGTCTATAACACGTAACGGTGTTCACATGTTATACACCATACATGTGATCAGCAGCATGGGAATATTTAGTAGTGGTTCGACCAGATGAGTGGGAGTTCTTTGTTTCTTAAGTCCTGTTAGTTTTGTCGTATCACCTAACATTTTGGATTTATCATCCACTTAATCAGGGAGACCATGTACGTTTGTCTCTTTGCTCTTGGCTTACCTCGCTCAACATGGTTCCTTCTAGCTCCATCCATTTCCCTGCAAATGCCATTATTTTGTCATTTCTAATGGCTGCATAATATTCCATTGTGTATAGATACCACAATTTTTGGATCCATTCATCTGTGGTGGGGCATCTGGGTTGTTTCCATATCCTAGCTATTGTGAACAGTGCTGCAATAAACATGGAGGTGCACGTGTCCTTGTATATTGGTTCCTGTTGTTCAGGGTAGATGCCTAGAAGTGGTATGACTGGGTCGTAAGGGAGGTCAATCTTTAGCTTTCTAAGGACCCTCCAGACTGCTTATAAAAACCATTTTTGAAAAACCTTCACAATCAGTAGATAGTGAAGTTTTGGAATGTGCACCTCGTATGATTAAAAGTAAGAAACTCAGTATATGTCACTTAATGTAGACATTGTTTATATTTTAGATAACATTTGGCCAACCAGGACTAGATATTCAGAGCAGAAGTATGGAATATGTACAACGGCAAATATCTAAGGAATGTGGAAGCCTTAAGTCCCAGAACAGGGTAAGTAATACTGATTTGTCTTCTGATACGGAATGTAGCTCATCAACACAAAGGTGAAGATTTCCAAACATGTAATTGTCTATATAGTTGAACAATACTAGTACTTTTAAACCATGTTACTTAAACTCCATCTAACTTCTTTTGTGGGCTTTGTTTTGTTTTTTGGCCAGTCCTGGGCTTGAACTCTGGGCCTGGGTGCTGTTTTTACTCCTGAGCTCCTTTTACTCTAGGCTAGCGTTCTGCCTCTTGAGCCACAGCACCACTTCCAGCTTTTTCTGTTTTCTGTGCTTAGAGATAAGCATCTCACAGACTTTCCTGCTCAGGCCAGCTTTGACCTGCACTCCTCCAGTCTTAGCCTCCTGAGTAGCTGTGATTACTGTGTGAGCCAGGATTACAGGTGTGAGCTACTGGTGCCTGGCGCCATTTAACTTCTTTTTGAAGTCTATATTTATCACTAGATATAATCGAAGGGAATGTCTATTGTTATTCATTCCTGGACTCCATCCATTTGCCCCTGCCTCAGACCTGGCCTCTAAGCCCCATTCCAGTGCCACATTCATGTATTAAGGCGGCAATTATAGTGGCATTCTTCTTCTTGGCACCAAACTGTGTATTTGTCCTAATTCTCTGGAGAAACAGAACCTATAAGTTGCATAGAAAAGAGTTCTTCTATTTTAATGTTTTTGTTGTTTGTTTGCTGGTCGTGGGGCGTGAACTCTAAGTCCTGGGTGGTGCTGTCCCTGAGCTCTTCAAGCTCAAGGGAAGCACTCTATCACTTTGAGACATAGCACCACTACCAGTTTTCTAATGGTTAATTGGAGATAAGAGTTTCACTGAATTTACTGCCATGGCTGGCTTTGAACCATCATCCTCAGCTCCTAGCCTCCTGAATAGCTAGGATTACAGGTGTGAGCCACTCGCGCCTGGCTTATTTTAATTCTTAGGAGCAGAATTTATGGACCAAAAAGTGTAGTAGACTAAAAATAAATCTGATGATCCTCCGGAAGTATTTAGGTTGGAGGAATCCTTGAAGTCCATAAATGTGCTAATGAAGTAAAAAAAGACTGGTGACAGAAGTAAGGATCTTTAGGTAGAATTACTTTGGACTATTCAGGTGTGCAAAATGTGTAATCACTCTGGTGAGAGGGAAGCAGGGTGTTGGTGTTAGGAGATGTGACTACAGAAACAAGGGGTCGGTTTCTGCAAGGAAGGAAACAGGACCCAACACGTGCAGTCCTGTCCCGAGACGGGACAAGGCAGGGGAAAGGAGTGCTCCCTGCACACGGCCTCCAGAAGAAAGTAGCTCTCTTCCACCTGGACCCGAGCCATGTGAAGCAAAAGTGTTCTTCTCAGGAGTTGGCCGTGCCATAGCAGAGTGTAAATCCAGAATCTGCAGGGTAAGCCTTGAGCCTGGGCCTCCAGACTCATGCCCGCGGGCAGAGCTCTGTCTTGTTCTGGGGAGATCACTTGGATCAGGTCCACCATGGAAGGTTCTGTGCTTCTTCTCATAGCCCCTGAGCTAACATGTTAGTCCCACCCCCAAATACAAAATCATCCCGAAGACTCTGAAAAAATAACCTGAGCAGTGTCCCTCTGCCAGATTGACACGTAGAACTCACCGTCATAATTGTACTGTGTGGGTGTTTACTGGAGTTCCATCACTTTGCTTTTTAGGTTCCTTTGAAATCAATCAGACATGTCAGCTTTCAAGATGAGGATGAGATTGTGAGAATAAACCCTCGAGATATCTTAATCCGTCGGTATGCGGACTACAGGCACCCTGACATGTGGAAAAGTGACCTGGAGAGAGACGATGCTGAGGCCAATGTGCAGTTTTCTAAGCCAGACAGTAAAAAAACAGACTATCTCTACTCTTGTGGGGATGAGACTAAGTTAAATTCACTCAAAGACTCTGTGGTATTTAAGACACAGCCTTCCTCATTAAAATTTAAGAAGTCAAAGCGAAGGAAAGAGGACGGTGAGCGTTCTCGCTGCGTCTACTGCCAGGAAAGGTTTAATCATGAAGAGAACGGCAGGGGGGGGTGCCAGGATGCTCCGGATCCCGTAAAGAGATGCATCTATCAAGTTAGTTGCATGCTCTGTGCAGAGAGCATGCTATACCACTGTATGTCAGACTCGGAGGGAGATTTTTCTGACCCCTGCTCGTGTGACATGAGCGATGACAAGTTCTGCTTGCGATGGTTAGCCCTGGTAGCGCTGTCTTTCCTTGTCCCGTGTATGTGCTGCTATGTCCCTTTGAGAATGTGCCATCGCTGTGGTGAGGCGTGTGGCTGCTGTGGTGGGAAGCACAAGGCTGCTGGATGAAGCGAGCCTGGGCCCGGCTGAGCTTAAAATCTTTGTTTCCAGGAATTAGCTTACTTGGATTTGGGAAGCTTTCGGCAAGCACCATACACACTTGCCTGGCGTCCGTGGGCCGCTCGCGGGGAAGCGGAACTCGTCGGTTCTAGGTATTTTACAGACACTGGCCGTGCCTAACTTTCCCCTTGGGCGCATGGCTTGTTTTGTTACAGGTGCAGAGTATTTGCTGAAGGAAAACATTTCTGGTTATTGGCTACTAAAAAGTCAGCATAAAATATGATCCGACTAAAAGGGATTGCTTTTTGGCATTTTTGTGTATTTATGCATTAGGTGACAGAACTTGTAAAGGTTCGAATTCATTAGGACACAAACTAAACAGTGCTAGAGACAGTTGATTTCATCTAAGAAAAGTTAACACTTGGAAATTACAGGAAGTTAAACAAGTGCAACTAAATCATTCGTTGTTTTTTGAGAGCAGTTTTATGTATAAAATAACAAATGTTTATATTTAACTAAATGTAAGGTACGAATTATTACATATTAAACTTTTCTTGCCCTTCCTAGTTCTGGAGTAGATACATATCTACTGTCACATTCCATATATTTTGAATATTTAACTCATTTAGTTAATAACATTTTTATTCCATATAAAGGATTGGATATTTTCATCATTTCTCTTTGGCTACAATTTATATTGAGTTATATCTGTACATTCTGGTAATCTAAAATCCTTAAAAATATTCTCATCGCCTTGAGTGACCAACTTTTTTTTAAAGCACAGATGCAATTGTCTAATGTTCTGATGGGACGTAACACTTATTTTTATATAAAGAGACTGAATAAACAGGAAAAGGTGAGGGTTTTTTTGTTTTTAGTTGTTTGGGTTTTTTGTGGTTTTCAACCAGCAAGTTGTTTTCTCAGTTTCCTCCTTCAGGAGATGCTGTGTTAGACAAGGTAGCGCGTGGACCAGCAGTGGTCGCCTGTGGGACCGCTTTCTCTCTGTGGCCTCCAGCGGCTGCTCCACTCAACTCAGTCCTCACAGCCTACCGTAAGAAGTATGCTCATTGATATAAATGGCATTTTCGTTTTATTTAAACTGGCCAAAGGCAAATTTAATTTGTGTTAAGATGTGTGCTAAACTATCCCAAGAAAGTATTTAATCCAGTGTTGTGAATGGAATCGCCGATACATACAAATTTTATTTCTTTGGCAAAACATTTGTGTTACTGGACATTTAATTTGCAAGTAGATAGAATACGTAGTTCAACAAACCATTTCAAATACCCTGAGGTCAAATTGCCTGTTGTGTTGTGTTTTTTTCTCCTTCTTCAAACTGTTACATTAAAACTCTACCCAAGTCCCAAGTAAGGGATTCTTTCAGAATATCGCCTTAGAGAGATCAAGTTGAGAGGTGTGCCTTTTTTTTAATGGCTTAAAGTTTCAGAGGTGATAGAAATGAAAATCACACTACCAATTGGAAGCTCATTTTCTATGCAGCTTTTTAAATGTCATTTAGATACCATTCAGTGTCCATACCACACTTAAGCTTGTGTTTGCTTCCTCCTTTTGCCCTGATCAAGAACAATGTATATAACACTATCTGTCTGTAAAATACTTTTTTTTAAGAAAGCGTTTATATTTATATGACAGCTTGAACTGACAACATTGTGTATATAGATCATCTTGGAGTATTATTTCACATTGAAAAGAAGAAAAATATATTGATAACTATAGATGTTATGAAGAAGAGGTTATTTCTAGTTTTGTACTAAAAATCAATTGGATGAACTAAATCTCAAACAGGACACATCGTAGCAGCAGTTTTATGTCTTATTTTTACTGTTTATATATTTGAACGCTGCTACACCCAGTGATCTTCATTCCTGAAGTTTTCAACTAAAAGTTGGTGTCCTAGAATAGACTGTAAACTTTCAAAATTCCTCTTCATTGGTGAGACGGAAATACCGGTTTTCCTTGTGAATGAATATCCATAGTTATAAGTGGAAGTTTATGATTCAGATTGGAACAAGTTGTGAATAACTAAGAGAAAAGCTTGCTGGCCGTGTGGGGAAATCCTGCAGGAGGAGCTGTGTAGACACTTTGAGGAGAACAAAGCTAATCGTTTCTTCTATCAAGCACTAATCAATATAGTGCACTCCTGGTTCTGTACTGTACTTTATATAAAACATATATGCTTTAATATTTTAATGTTTGTGCATTAATATTTTCAATTTGTTTAACCACTGTGCTGCTAAGATTTCTGCTGTCCCATTCCCATTTTTTTTCCTTTACAATTTAAAATGACTTTCTTCATTAAAAACTACGGTGATAAAAATTGTTTTTATTTCACCTTGGATCTTGATCTTTAACATACCCGATTTTCACATCAGCCTAGAAAACTAACTGATGATATAATGTATGAATCTGCCCATGGAACTTTTCTCTTGAGTAAATGAGAAATCCTAAGGGAAAACAAATGGAAAGCTGAGCTCTCTGCGTCTTGGATGTGTGTATACTAGATTCAGGAACATTTTCTCCTTTGTACAGATTTGGCGCTGCCATTTGGCGTTTCCTCAAGACTTTTCTGTCTGAATCTTTTGTAAGCAAAGGGATCAAAAAATAAAACAGTGAAAGTACAAGTGAAAATTGAAAATGAAGTCATCTGACTGGCACGACCAAGAAGAGTGCCACAGGGGTGTCGCTGAGAATTGATCTTTCCGGGAGGTTTTCCCCTGCTCCTGCTGTCCAGGGGCATTGTTTGTCTTGGGGAGGAAACGCACATGGGGCCCCAGCACCCCCTACTGGTCAGCTTGGGGAGCAGGACAGGGAGGTGGCCTGGCATGGGTGGGGTGGGGGTGAGGGTGTTCCCCCACGGGGCCCAGAGTTCCGGGAGGGTGGGGTCCCTCCTCCCAGGAAGGCTTAAAGCAAGTGGAAAAGGATGCTTTCCTCTTTGGCGTCTTGTTGGTGGCTGAAAAATTTTAAGCACTTTTTTCTTATACATCCTGTTCTAGAACATTTATTGATACTTGGAACTGGCAATCAAACCTAATGAGTATATTGAGGCATTTTTTATAGAGCAAAAGCCATTACCAAAATGGTATATACTTACTTTTCTTCCCATTGCCAGTCAGGGAGATTTAAAATAAAAAAACAACAACACACAGACACTCGTGTCTTATCACGAAAACTTTTAAGAGTTGTGTATGTTTCTGAGATGGTGGGGTGGGACCTGGGATTTAAAGGGTAAAACTTGAAACTACCTATTTTCATTGGTTGTTCAGCAGTGCCTAAAATGAGCTTTTACAGTAATGCAAATGCACTTTGACCTCGCGTGTTCAGTGCCATCTTGGGTAAGTCCTGTATTCTCTTCTTCCTCCCTGATGAGTGTATCCAGTCTCCAGAGTGCAGGAAAGCACACACTCTCCTCTGGACAGATAAAGAACTTTAAGGATGTGTTTCTCATGCTGAAATTTAAGTTTTCTGGTTACACTTTGAAAAATGTGTGTTTAAGATTAGTTTTTCATTGTTGCAAAGGTACGTCCTGCACATGATGCAACAGTTTCTACATAAAAATTGTGAACACTTTAGTTACCTGAAAAGAACAGATTCTTACTTCTCTACTCTTCTAAGTATAAGGGGAAAGCACTAGAAATTTGCATTATTGCTGTACTTTAAGTCTGTCAATCACCTTAAGGTGTTTTATGGTGAACCATTTTTAAGAGCTGTCTTCCTTTTTTTTAAGAGACACTATGGGAAGTGATTTATATAAACCAAAAGGAACAGCAAGTGCTTTAACATAGTTTGCCTAGCAGCCAAGTGGTTATAAAAACTCGCATATGCTTTGGTACACTGAAAATATTAGCCATGTTCCTGGGAGCTTACATTGCATAAGTTGTGAGTTTGGAGGTTTTTCAAGAACTTGGAAAGCCTTTGTATTACAGATGTGCACGTGGAAACGTGTGTGGTGGCGTCCGCTTTCTGTTCCCTCCACTCGAAAGTGCCTCGTTTGTACATTACTCTGTGAAAAACCTGATGCTTGCTTTCTAATGAGCAGTGAGAAATTGTTTAACTCATGTCATGTATCCTATAGTTAACCAGCTTGATAGTACTGAGTATATAATGTAAATACGCATATAGAAATTTGTAACTGTTTTTGTTACACCATATCCATGTAATTGGACATATCAGATGGTATCATAAGAATTTGTTTTAATGATTTTACTGCCCTGGAATTACCTGATTAAACCGATCATGAAATATGAAAGGACTTTTTCTTCCTTTTTTAGAATACGTCAAGGTATTGCATGAAGATGATTACTGGGGGAGGGCATGGCAATGGGAATGGACGCCTTTAAACAAAAATCCCTGTGGAGGCCAGGCGCCGGTGGCTCACGCCTATAACCGTAGCTACTGAGGAGGCTGAGATCTGAGGATCACGGTTCAAAGCCAGCCCGGGCAGGAAAGTCCATGAGACTCTTATCTCCAATAAACCACCAGAAAACCAGAAGCAGTAGCGCACTCGCCTTGAGCTGAAGAGCGCAGGGACAGCATCCAGGCCCAGAGTTCAAGCCCCACGACCAACAACAACAAAAAAATCCCTGTCTGCTGCTTCCTTGTTGGATCCAGATTTTTTTCTTTTTAGCTTGTTAGTGACATGCTTATTGGTTTGTAAATGTGGGTAAGTCTAGATTCATTAGATCTCTCAGACGTGTGGCAAATGTTCCACCCAAGGCTGCTGCTGCTGTCGCTGCATGTGTGTGATAAAATCACTGGTATTTACAAACATGAAAAATGATAAAACAGGTCAAAAGTCATAGTGTACATCTCAATACATTACACTTGCATTAATTTGGGAAATCAAATACTTAACGTTACCATGAATTAAGAAATTACTGAGTTAAGAGATACAGTCACTTATTTGCAGGTTTTCAGAGAGTTGCTTTCTGTTGTATCAAGTTGATACCTAGAGGTGAGCTCTGCTTGGCCATTACTATAGTGCTGCTCTGCCCAGAATGTTCTTGAAACCTCAGTTGCTCTACCTAGTGTGAAAGGTGGAGTCGTTTCCTCTTCACTGCTCCAAGATGGGCAGGTGTAGAGAGGTCCCTGAAGTGGCAGTTCAGGACAATGTAATAAATATGAGGTTGCCTTTTTTTTTTTTTTTTTTTTGTCGGTCGTGGGGCTTGAACTCTGGGCCTGGGCGCTGTCCCTCAGCTCTTCAGCTCAAGGCGAGCGCTCTACCACTTGAGCTACAGCGCCACTTCCGGTTTTCTGGTGGTTTATTGGAGATAGGAGTCTCACGGTCTCTCCTGCCCGGGCTGGCTTTGAACCACGATCCTCAGATCTCAGCCTCCTGAGTAGCTAGGATTACAGGCGTGAGCCACCAGCGCCCGGCCTTGAGGTTGCCTTTTTTTTGTCAGTCATCAGACTTCCACTCAGGGCCTGGGCACTTGTCCCTCTTCATTTTGGTTGTGCATTTTATTCTTGATCACAGACCTGTGGCTGTCAGCAAATTAGGTTGAGCTGACATTTTTTCCTGAGCATGGCTTCTACCCGTGCTTATCTCAATAAAAGGAAAGAGAGCATTGAAAATGTGGCTCACGCTTGTAATCCTAGCTACTCAGGCTGAGATCTGAGGCTCGTGGTTCAAAGCCAGCCTAGGCAAGAAAGCCTATGAAACTTTTTCTCCAATTAACCACCAAAAGCCAGAAGTGGGGCTGTGGCTCAAAGTGATAGAGCGCTATCCTGCAGCAAAAAGTCAGGGACAGCCCCCAAGCTCCAAGTTCAAGGCCCAGAACAGGCACCAAAAATAAAAAGGTGTCCACTCCAGAGCTGCCCTGACCAGGAACAGGCTGCTATTTCCACGTTTATCCCTCAGCTTCCCAGTGCACTGGTCATTTTGACTAGTACCAGTAATCAGAAGTTGGCTGGATGCCTGCTGGGTTCATGAGCTGTGTAGAGTAGATGCGTGTGCACTGTGCGGTGCGTGCGTAGGCAGTGGCTGGTGGGACTGAGCCTGTGCTCATGTCAGGAGGCAGTGGACGTGTGAGCAGGGCCTTGTGGGAGTTTCCTCCCCACCCTTTGCCCTTTGCCCTTGGCAGTTGGAACAGTTCTGGGAAAGAGGGCAAGCAGAAGAGGACAGCCTCCCCTGACCCACCACTGAGCCCTCCCGGCTGCCACCACCACAAACACACCTGAGGATTCAGCATCACTCGTGCCAGGCAGGCCCGTGCGTCCATCCCATGCTGACCCCCAAAGAGTTCTTGAACAAATGACTGAAATAGCGGGAGAAAGCTTCCCTGGGAGGGAGAAGAGTTGGGGCGTCTCTGCCACTCCCACGGCCCTGCAGAAGTCCGAGAGGCTGACCTCAGGACAGGTGCTCCCGAGTCCTGTGTGAGAGCCCCAGCAAGTCACCCTGTGCAGAACCGAGGAAAGCACCACCACTCCGTTTAGTGGTTGAGATGAGGCCTTGCTACCTTTTTCCCCCTCTACCAGCAATCATCCTGCCCTTCACCCCCAGAGAAGTTGGAGTTACACGTGTCAGCCACTGGATCTGGCCACGATTTTTTAAAGCTATGTCTACTGTGGTGGTAAAGTCATCTAGGTTTATGTTTTTGCAATTTTATTGAATTATTTTTATGCCTTTCTGATATTCTCAGACTTGGCTTTCAGTGACTTGGCCATTCTCATCCTATCATGTATATTTCATTGGATTTTTGGTGGTTAATTGGAAATAAGAGTCTCACAGACTTCCGCCCAACCTGGCTTACCTGTGATCCTCAGCTCTCAGCCCCTGAGTAGCTGGCACCCCATGTGTATTTCATGTATGTATTTGGAATACCTTCATCATCCACACTCCTTAGGCATTTATATCTATTGTACGTGGGGTTTTTTTTCTCCTGATACTTCATTGTTAATTGTTTTCCTGATGGCTTAATAGGCCATAGATCTTGGCATTGTGGAAATATTCAAAGTTCTCACCTACAGTGTGGGATAGGATTGCAGGTGTGAGCCACTGGTGCCTGGCGCCTTGTGGCTTGTGCACACCAAGCTATTAAGGACTGTTTTCGATAGGGTTGGCCTTACTCCTGTCCTATTTCACTGACACACTTGCTTATCCTACGCTGAGAAGACTGACTGATGAAAACCAAATGATCGTAGCCACCAGTTTGTCTCTTATTTCCATACCTAAGCCTTGTCTAGGAAGAAAAGAAAACGGTTCCAACATAGTTTGAAGGGTCTTAGGTTTTTCCCGTTGGAGGATTGAATCCATTCGGTACTTTGGGTTGAAATGGGCCACGTGGGAGAGGAATTCCTTGAAATCACCTGTGTTCTGCTTTATGTAACTCACCACGTCCCCCAAGAAAAAAAAAATCCTCATTTTTTTTTTTTTTTTTTTGATTGTGGGGCCTGAACTCTGGACCTGGGCGCTGTCCCTCAGCTCTTCAGCTCAAGGCTAGCGCTCTACCACTTGAACCACAGCACCACTTCCGGCTTTTTTCTTTTTGCTTATGTGGTGCTGAGGAATCGAACCCAGGGCCTCATGCATGCAAGGCAAGCGCTCTATCACTGAGCTACCTTCCCAGCCGCAGAAATCCTCACTTTCAAGTGCAGGGCGCATGCGCTGGTCGGGCGGCCGCGGGTCCATCCGCATCCCCAGCGGTAGCGCCGCCGGCCACCGCCAGAGGGCGCGCGCGCGGCGCCGGCCCTCCGCTTCCCGGGGCCCAGCCAGGCCCCACCGGCCCTGCAGGGCTCCAGCTCGCGGCCCAGGGTTTTCCAGACCTGAGAACCTCCGCTTTCCAGGGAGGCCCCCACCCCTCATTGCCCAGGTGGCTTTTCAGACAGCCTCTTCTCTGCCCGGTGGCCTCCAACTACAGTCCTCCTGGCTCCACCTCCTGCGGAGCTGGGACTACAGGCGTACACCACGGTGCCTGGTCTGAGGTCCTCTTTCCCTCTGGCAGTGGTTTTGTGTTTAGGTCGGTCGTGGGGCCTGAACTCTGGGCCTGGGCGCTGTCCCTCAGCTCTTCAGCTCAAGGCGAGCGCTCTACCACTTGAGCCACCTTCCCAGCCCTGGTTGGTCACCTGTTTTGTAAGATGTTTTTGTATTTGGAATCAGACACAAAACAACACTGAACGGCACTGCCGACGGCTCAGGGGAAAGCTGGCCGCGCCAGGTGACGGATAGCAGGGCGGAGGAGACGACAGCAGCGAGGCCACGCCGGCCGGCGCCGCTGGCTCCCGCCCGTCATCCCCGCGCCCCGGGAGCCGGAGACCCGCGCATCGCGGTTCAAAGCCAGCCCGGGCTGGAAGACCGTGAGGCTCTGATCGCCAAAGAGCCACCAGGAAACCGGAAGTGGAGCAGAGACGCGAGCGGGGGGCGGAGGAGATGGGGGAGTCAGCGTGACCCCGCCCCGGCCCGGAACCTTGGTGCTGCGGGTCCTCGGAGCGGGGGGCGGAGTCAGCGTGACCCCGCCCCGGAACCTCGGCGCGGTGGTGACGCTGGTTTCCGGCGGGCTCTTTGTAGCGACGAACAGCCCCGGCCGCGCACCATGAGAGGCCCGGAGCCGGAGCCGGGTCCCGAGGCGGCGGCGGCGGGCATGGAGGGGGACGTGCTGGACACGCTGGAGGCCCTGGGGTGAGCGCGGGGCCCTTCCTTCGCCCGCCCGCCCGGGGGTCTCCGGGCCTCGGCCTCAGGCCCGACCGCTTCTCCCGCCCGCGCTGAGCGGGAGCCGGCCCGGGAGGAGGGAGGCGCGGGCCCGGGAGGAGCGGCCCGGGAGGAGCGGCCCGGGAGGAGCGGGCCCGGGAGGAGCGGCCCGGGAGGAGCGGCCCGGGAGGAGCGGGCCCGGGAGGAGCGGCCCGGGAGGAGCGGCCCGGCCCGGGAGGAGCGGCCCGGGAGGAGCGGCCCGGGAGGAGCGGGCACGGGAGGAGCGGGCCCGGGAGGAGCAGGTCCGGGAGGCGCGGGTCCGGGAGGAGCCGGCCAGGAGGAGCAGGCCCGGGAGGAGCGGCCCGGCCTGGGAGGAGCGGCCCGGGAGGAGCGGGGAGCGGCCCGGGAGGAGCGGGCACGGGAGGAGCGGGTCCGGGAGGAGCGGGCACGGGAGGAGCGGGTCCGGGAGGAGCGGGCACGGGAGGAGCGGGTCCGGGAGGAGCGGGGAGCGGGTCCGGGAGGAGCGGCCCGGGAGGACCCGGCCAGGAGGAGCAGGCCCGGGAGGAGCGGGTCAATGAAATGGGAAAGAACTTGTTCATAGTCTGTATAAATTTCTGGACTTTTCTTTTCTCAGATGCCTGTGTAGATAGTAAATACTGCTTCTTGTTGTGCTGATGGCATTCAGGCTGTTATGTGAAGTTGAAACAGAGGGGAACAAATCGTGGGAAAGCAATCCAGAGCCATTGTGGCTGGTAGTGAGCGGGCTGGGGCTCAGCCTCCTGTGATGATGACCTTGTGTCTCCCCGTTCCAGAGTCGGATTGTGTGGGGCGCTAAGCTCGTAGTAGGTCTGCCTGTCTTCACCGTCACAGATGGTACTGGTGAAAGTGGTTCTTGACTGGTGTGTACCACAGACTGAGTCAGCTTCTTCCGAGGGGCAGTGCAGGCATGCAAATTTTCAAAAACTTGGCGGTCTCGGTTGAGAGCCATTGTTTTGGAAAGTTTAAGTGTTTGTGGAGCACCGCTGTTTGTATGGGACAGTGTTCTGAGGAGGCAGCGAGGAGTCCTCATGGTCCCTGCCCTGTGGCATTCAGTGCTTCAAGGGAAAAAGAAAAGGGTTAGAACAGGGAGGGGTAGGGATTCTTGACAACACTGAGTTCATAGAAGCTAACGACAGGGGACTGGGTGAGAAAGGAAGACCACAAGCTAGAGTAGGAAGGAGTAGGTATTAGAACAGGAAGGAAGAAGATGTGCAAGGGACAGCCTGGTGGAGACTGGAGCCTGTGTCTTCAGTTTTATTCTTTATGTCCAACAGCAGTTGGACACACTGAGTCTGTGCGGAATGGGAAAAAGTTGACGGTGGCTGGGGGAGCAGGGGAGTGTTGGGAGCTAGTAAGCAGAGGATCAGTGGGAGGGGTGCCCTGATGTATTGGAGTAGTCCTGACTGAGTGGCCAGGAAACTCAGCAGGACACACAGTAGGTCGTGGTCAGGGAGTGTGGCATGCTTGACCGGTGGCTTGGGAAGTGGAGTCGATCTGTGATGCCAGGTGCAGCAGGGCTGCTAACAAGAGCTCAGGTTTAGACAGGTTATCCATCTGGACTTTGAAAACACTCAAGTGGCAGGTGCATTGATGGGAATACCTAAGAGATTCGTAGCTGAACCCCAGATCTGACAGGCCCAGACAGGATACTCTTGGCTTAGATGCTGAACCAGAGGAAGAGGATGAAAGTCTGGCCCTGTGACTTAAAGAAAAAACAGCCAAAGCTAGAGGCAGTGGATAGCCTTCCTGAGAAGAGAAGGACGGTATAAGAGAGTCGTTGACGGATGGACAGAGTGGGTGAGGGTGAGGAGAGCACTAGGCTGGTGAATGGTGGGGGGAAGGCGTGCTGCGTACCTCCTGCCTGCTGAACATAGAAAACAAGCCAGCCCAGTCGTGTGAGGAAGCTTGCGTATAACCTCCTGGACTAAAGAAGTTAAAGTAGTGTCAACAGCAACTACATTTCCAGTAAGAGGCCAGGGGAGCACTTCCTAATTCAGTTAGAGTGCGTAACACGCGGGAGCCGGACTATCTCAGTAGCAGCGTAATTTCATAGGATATCAAAGCAGGCGTGAAATGAAGGCAATGGGCCCTGAATAGTCATTAAAGGGAGCACAGAGAGACTCTGAGTGTTACCTGCTTGTCAAGAAGCCTTTGGAGGGAGGATGGGAAGGGAGGGACATATTGACCAATGTTTTGGTGACAGCAAAGTCTCGGGTGGTGTGTACCATGCCGTTCCGTGCCAGAGGCCTGGCCAGCAGCCTGGGCAGTGTGCGGGCTGTGGGAATGGAGAGCTTTGGATCTGGTTCCAGCCCTGCTGAGTGGAAGTCCATTTTAACAAGGCCCTCAGGGAGATTCATGTTTAAGGAGCACCGTGCAGCCTGGGGACCAGTGGCTCACACCTGTAATCCTAGCTACCCAGTAGTCTGAGATCTGAGGATCACGGTTCAAAGCCAGCCTGGGCAGGGAAGTCTGTGAGACTCCTCAGTAAACCACCAGAAAACCGGAAGTGGCACTGTGGCTCAAGTGGTAGAGCACTAGCCTTGAGCTGAAGAGCTGAGGGACAGCGCCCAGGCCCAGAGTTCAAGACCCATAACTGACAAAAAAAAGCGCTGCACAGGTCAGATGTAGTGCCTCATGGGCTTGGTAAATTATTATTAGCAGAATATTTGCCCATACACATGCCTGTGTGTGCAGTGTTTAGATGGTGCTGTCCAGTAGGGGTTAAGATCACTGCGTGGGACAGGCCAGACCTAGCCAATGGTTGGCCAAGATTGTGGCAGTCCTAGGCCAGTTATTTCTCTCTATTCTTTGGTTTCCTAGCATTAGCATCCAGTAGATGCTAATGACTGGGTATTTTTGCTTTTTATTTTATTTTATTTTTTGGTTGGTCACGGGGCCTGAACTCTGGGCCTGGACACTGTCCTTCAGCTCAAGGCTAGTGCTCTACCACTGGAGCCACAGTCCCACTTCTGGCTTTTTTCTGCTTATGTGGTACTGAAGAATCGAACCCAGGGCCTCATGCATGCAAGGCAAGCACTCTACCACTGAGCCATCCTCCCAGCCCTATTTTTGCATTTTTAAGGAGTGCTTAGCACTGGTCTGCTGTGAGCAATTAGTTTATGTTGGTCACTGTTATGACTAAAAACTTGTGGTTATTGTTTTATTGCAGAAAAGAAAGCAGATACAGGGAAATGAGACGTTTGCTATTCAATCCCAGTGAGAGGTGTAGGAGAGCCTGGCAGGAGGGAAGCTGCCCTGAGCTAGGTCCAGCCCTGGACTGCCTTCTGTGCTTGGGTCATTTGGGCAGGGTTGCTGCTCAGTCTCAGCACTGGTATTGACCTAGGTTTAAGCACCGGGGGTGTCTGGAGTACTGGAAAAGTTCTGTGGGCTGTTGGGGTCATGGGTTTACATCTCAGTTACTTGCCTTCCCCTTCTACAGGTAGGATCATACCAAGCTTTGGGTGATTGTTAAATGAATTGCAGATGTATTTTCCTGCTACTGAAGGAGAGGGAATTTGTAAAAACTCCTCATGAGGTACTGCTAGAGAATTCATAGAAAAGAAGTGCACATGCCCTTTACTGTGTGCCATTGTATGTAAGAAAAGTATCCATTAAGTCTATCCAGCCAACCAGCCTACCTCCTGAAAAACTTTGCCAGCGAGCAAAACACCTCAGATATTTGAATACTAATGAATCATATCTAAATACTGATCCTAGTATGTGCAGATGTGGATGTATAATCTTGTATGTGTTTAAGCAAGAAATAGTGTGTACTAGGCTTTTATTATAGTGAAGAAAAATATGTGGTTATTAATGTTGTATGTAATTATGAAAAAGTAGTTTCAAACATCCAAGTATTATTACCTATAGGGCAGAGACAGACTACAAGTACTAAGGTATGATTAAGACCACAAACTAAGTCTGTGTGAATGAACTTTATTTTGTAAATTAGACTTTTTTTTTGTAAATTAGACTTTTTTTTGGTCAGTCTCAGGGCTTGAACTCTGGGCCTGGGTGCTGTCCCTTAGCTCTTCAGCTTAAGGCTAGCGCTCTACCACTTGAGCCACAGCACTACTTCCGTTTTCTGGTGGTTTATTGGAAATAAGAGGTAACAATAGAGGGAAAAAAAGGGGCTGGGAAGGTGGCTCAGTGGTAGAGTGTTTGCCTTGCATGCATGAGGCCCTGGGTTTGATTCCTCAGCACCACATAAGCAGAAAAAGCCAGAAGTGGCGCTGTGGCTCAAGTGGTAGAGCGCTAGCCTTGAGCTGAGGAGCCAGGGACAGAGCCCAGCCCAGAATTCAGGCCCCACAACCAAAAAAAAAAAAAAAAAGAGAGAGAGAGAGAGAGAGGAAAAAAGTCTAAAAAATCTGAACTTGATCCACAGCTCTTGATCTCAGTTGAGGAATTTGACCCTCAGGGACAAGTTGTTTAATTGATCCAGAAATTATCTCTTTTCAGCCATTTTGTTGTTAGTGCTGGTCTTTACTTCTGAAGCTGGGTAATTTACATATGTGTTTTTATGTAATAGGATTGTGCAGATGACATTAGAATTTTCATTTTAAAAGAAAATAGTCATTTCTTTTTCTAAAATGAAGTTGAAAGTCACAGTAAGAATTCTTATTTGTTTCTCTTTAACAAACTGTAAAGGGCTGTGGGCACGGCACAATTATAGGTTTCTTGGAGAAATGTCTGCTTACAGAACTATCTAGAAATCGAGGGTGGTGTTGACAGACTCCAGGAAGAGGGCACTAGAGGGATTTACTTTGCTTCTCTACAGAGCCTGTCATTTCCTTTCTAGGTACAAGGGACCGCTGCTGGAAGAACAAGCCCTTAGCAAGGCGGCTGAGGGCGGCCTCTCCTCACCCGAGTTTTCAGAGCTCTGTGTATGGCTAGGATCTCAGATCAAATCCTTGTGCAACTTGGAAGAAAGCATCACGTCAGCTGGTATTGTCGTTTTTAATCTTCCTTCTGTCTTTTATAGTTTATAATTCCATCAATAACAGGACCACTGCACAGAGAAAAAACGCATAAGCTGAAGAAGAATGTCGCTGAGAGATGTTAAGAATTTTCCTTCCATTTTATACAAAGCCAGCATGGATCCCTAGATTTGCCGTAAAATTCAAAGCAATTACAGTGTATCTGCTGCCTTAATCTTAGTTTTATTCTTGAAAAAGATAGAGTGAATTGGTTATTTTACATTTGATGTAACCTTCCCCCCCACACACACCTCCTCCATGCTGGGGATCAAACTCCCAGCTTGCACCTACTAGCATGCTAGACACCCACTGTAGCCCTGAGCTCTGCCTCCAGTCCTGAAAGTGACTCATTTTGAATTTTTTTCCATACCTGTGGTCCTTAATTTAAACTATATTCCCAAGCCTTTAACTCAGGACCTGTGTTCTTATAGAGCTTTATAAAGCTTCTTACCAGCTCTTAACACTTGGTTAATTCATCACCTACCATCTTTGTAGCAAGTCTGTAGATCTTTGATAGAATTTTAGATACTATGATGAAAACTTAAACTGTTTGGTACCTGCTAGGGACCAAAATAGCTTTTCCTTCCAAAACTGTTCTTTTAGATTTTTTTTTCCTTGTGGAATATAACAGTTCACTTGAAGTATAATGTCTGGGTCCAGATATGATACAAGTGTCTACATAACTACATTATGAGTCTGGGAACATGGCTTAGTGGTAGAGTGCTTGCCTAGCATGCATGAAGCCCTGGGTTCAATTCCTCAGTACCACTAAGCAGAAAAGGCCAGAAGTAGCACTGTGGCTCAAGTGCTGTCCTTGCTATCCTTGAGCAAAAGAAGCCCAGGGACAGTGCCCAGTCCCTGATTTCAAGCCTCAGGCCTGGCCAGAAAACAAAATAAAACAAAAAATAGCTTACAGTATGAATTAAACTTTGAGGCGTAATTAGATCATTATACTTATTGTCTGAATATATAGAAATACAGTGGGAATGGATCATTTACTCCGAAGCCAATTAATAATTGAAGCCTAGTAATAATTTTAATATTTCAGTTGTTAATAAAGTACTTGCAAGCACCTGTGGCTCACTCCTGCAATCCTAGCAACTCAGGAGGCTGAGACCTGGAGAACTAGAGTCCTGAGCCACTGAGAATGAGAGTAAGCCCTGAGTTCTCACTCTGGTACTAGCACCAAAAAGAAAGAAAGAAAATTACAATCTCATGGTGGTGTATGATCTTAAGCTGATGTTTGTGGTCTGTAAGGTGTTGCTTTCTATATGTGGAAATTACTTGGCTGTGTCTGCCTGAGCTTCGCAGTCGTACAGCTCAGGGTGAAATGCGAAAGTGGAAACTTGGAATTGAAGGAAACTTGAAATCAGCCATTGCTAGACTTTACAAAATTGGATTATATGGAAAGTGGTCACTAACTGATGTGTGCGCTTTCCTTTCTAAAGGGAGAGATGACCCAGAGAGCTTCCAGCTTGAGATTAGTGGTTTCTTAAAAGAAATGGCCTGTCCGTACACTGTCCTTGTATCTGGAGACATCAAAGACCGCTTAAAGAAGAAGGATGACTGTTTGAAACTTCTGTGTGAGTTTTCTTCCCTGCCTCCTATAAATGTACGGCTTTTCCTGAAATTTATACAGCTTATTACTGAAACATTAGCCATTTTGTGTATATAAATGCTTAATATTTTGAGTTAAGAATATCAAGCTGTCTTAGAAATGTTTATATAGGATTTGTTTAGATTCTACCAGCGAACCCTCTAACACTTGTATGGAGGATGATGCCCTATGATTATGTCGTATTTTGATCATTTTTCCTTCACCCAGTTCATCTCTTAGCATGTATGACCGTGTGGATAAAGTTGGTGACCTCCAAAGTCCTGCCTGACTTTCAAGTTCCCTGAGAAGTGGGCTCCTAAGCATATTATTAGATCTTGTTTTTAGTCATAGGCTTTGAATGGTGGTTTTCTCAAAAACATATTCTGATCACCTGCTCTTCTATCAGAAAAACTGCTTTAGGCACTGGGAGTTTTTAAAAGGTAAAATTCTTGCCTTCAGGGCTCCTAAGTTTTTCAGTGTGTAGCTGAGCCAATATTCACACAGTCACGGCAAAATTTTTTGTCTTTTAAGTTCTACAAACTGGTTACTTGATTTTTTTTTGGGGGGGGGGGGCGGGAGTGGGTTGGTGGGCTTGAACTTAGGACCTGGACTCTCACTGAGGTCTTTTGCTCAAGGCGAGAATTCTACCAGAGTGCTAGTTCCTGTTTTCTGGTGGTTATTTGGAGATAAGAGTCTCACAGACTTTCCTGCCTGGGCTGGTATTGAACTAGGATCCTCACATCTCAGCCTCCTGTGTAGCTAGGATTACAGGCGTGGGCCACTGATGCTCAGTCTTAATTTTATTGTTTTATTTCTGCTTCCATCATTCATCTTTTTGAGACTAATCTTTAGACTGACCTGTGCAGGTAGAGGACAGTGGTGCTGGTCTTCTGCTCGGTGGCTTGGCCTTCCGGGGCCAGGGCCAGGGTCAGGGCCGGCTGCTAGCTTCCCCAGTGTGAGAACGCCAGCCATCCCCAGTGACAGAGCTTGCGCTCGGTCCTGGACAGTCTTTCCTCATTTCATGTTAAGTTTACTGTGTTCTGCAGCAATTGCTATTGTTGACACTTACTTTAAGTAAATTGTTTCAGCAAAATGCTTTTAATTTGTCATACGTGTATTAACAATATTCATTTTTAACATTTTTATAGTATTTTTAAGTACAGAGCTTCAAGCCTTGCAGATATTACAGAACAAGAAACCCAAGACTTCCCAGCTGGATCGGAGCAGCGAAGTCCACAAGGAGGTTGAGGCCCTGTGCGATGTCCTGGGCGTGCCCTGGTCCGCCACCGACCTTCCGCATCTCCTGAGCCAGGTGGAGTTGAAGGTATTGCATTTGTTCTGCTTTTGTTTTCCTCACAATTCCCCATAATAAGATATCAGTGTGGGGGCTGGGAAGGTGGCTCAGTGGTAGAGCGCTTGCCTTGCATGCCTGAGCCCTGGGTTCGATTCCTCAGCACCACATAAGCAAAAAGAAAAAAGCCGGAAGTGGTGCTGTGGCTCAAGTGGTAGAGCGCTAGCCTTGAGCTGAAGAGCTGAAGGACAGCGCCCAGGCCCAGAGTTCAGGCCCCATGATCGGACCCCCCCCCCCCCCCCCAAAAAAAAAAAAGACATCAGTGTTGAAGTAAAAGTGAACAATTTCCCTTTGGATGTGTCATGCACACAGCATTGTAAGACAGGTTTGTCCTTCTGGGAGTCCACACAGGCAGAGCGGTTGCCTGGCTTGTGCGAGGCCCTGGGCTCGTTCCCCGCACCACACCCAGAGCAGAAGCTCATCTTCACTGATGCTGCATTGAGGACTGCAAGGGATCTAATTGTCTGTATCGAACGTTCAGGAATCAGATCAGAATGAGCACGTGTCGTTGGGCTTCACCAGGGCAGAAATCACTCTGCAGTGTTAAGATTGCTCTGGTAACCAGAGTTGCAGTACAGCATGCGGAATGAAGTAGTTTGCCTGCAGAGTCGACGGCAAGCTAACCTTTTATCAGCAGATATTGCTGGATGCCTCCTGTGGCAGGAAGCAGACACAGGTGTTGAGTGACTGTGTGTTGTTCAGGGAATGAGTATTAGAACCACCTCGAATCTGTCTGTGAAGGTCTACTTTACTTTCACAGGTTACTTATTGTCTAGCATTTCAAACAACACATCGAACAAGAGCAAGATTGCTCTTTAATTCAGTATGTACATTAGTACAACTTTTTATATTTACTTTTAGGTGAAGGAGGTTCTTTCTAAAGTGCAGAAAAATCATGTGGGGAAACCTCTTCTGAAAGCTGACTTAAGTCCAGAACAAGCGGTGAGTCTCCCTGCCTGCAGGGCATTTGATGGAGCATGTGACTGTCCTTGCCTGCTGCTACTGTAGTGAAATGCCAGAGGCAGGCTGACGGTAAGGGACAGGCGCAGGCAGCATGGTGCTGATGGTGTGTAACCGCGTGTAGCTGTGATCGTGAGGATGGCCATGCAGTGGAAAGCGCCCGAGGGCTGGAGGTGGAAAGAGTGGGGACCGGCCATCTCCCTCCAGGGATTCCCACTCAGCCGCAGAGTCCTGCCGCTGGCACGATCGCCTCCCTGCCTCCCGCACCTCCACAGCGCTGCGGAGCAGGGCAGAGCTCTGTGTCCCTGCCTCCCGCACCTCCACAGCGCTGCGGAGCAGGGCAGAGCTCTGCGTCCCTGACTCCCGCCCCCGCCGGGCCCCACAGTGCGGGCCTAGAGTGACAGACTAGCTTGTCTTCCAAATTATTTTTTAAAATGTCTTTATTGAGATTAAGTGATTACATAAATTTCACAGTATTGTGGGGTAGTGATGCTTAGCTAAGTCACAAACACATGTTAACCTTCACAAGGTGAATTGTCATTATCACGGTCCATAAAGCTTGTGAACTCTACAAACCTTGACTCTACAGCTATTTCTTCCAAATCAGGTGATAGGTACGTTTCTTTCCTTTTGCTCAGTGTCAGCTGCTCCCTCTTTCCCTCTCATTCCCTCCCTCCCATCGCTGCTCTTGAGTTGCTTAGTTCACTTTCACCCATGTCCAGTGCGGCTGATGGCCCCTCTGTTGTGTTTCCACCTGTTTCCCTCTGATTCTGTGCCCTCCTCGCTTCCCTCTGATGTGCACATGTATATACCACATGTGGGGTCGAGAACTAAAGTCATCTAAAACAATAGGACCAGTTAAGAAGAGGTCCTTTGTTTCTTGAATCCTGTTTACTTTGTCATATCTTGTTGCATTTTGAATTTAATATCTGGCTATCAAGGAGACCATGTACCGTTGGTCTTTCTGGTCTTGGCTTATTTTGCTCAACATGATTTATACTAGTTCCATTCATTTCCCTGCGAATGCCATTATTTTGTTCTAATGGCTGTGTAGTATTGCATTGTATATAGGAACCACAGTTTATGCATCCATTCTTCTGTAGTGCATCTGGATTGTTTCCATATCTTGGCTATTGTGAACAGTGCAGCAATGAACATGAGGTGCATGTGTCCTTGTATCCTGGTTCCTATTGCTCAGGGTGGATGTCTAGGAGTGGTTTGGCTGGATCCTATAGAAGGTCTATGTTTAGTTTTCTGAGGAGCCTCCAGACTGCTTTCCAAAGTGGTTGTATTAGTTTACATTCCCACCAGCAGTACAGTAGGGGTCCTCTTTCTCTGCATCCCTGCCAGCATTTGTTATTGTTTGAGTTTAGGGTATAGGCCATTCTGAATGGTCACCAAATTAATAAATGGATGGTGTCCAGTGTGTCTTCAGAGCTACTTTGGAAAGGCCAACATGTTGAGAAGTTACTGGCATTTTCTCTCCTTACTGGTGCAGGCTACTTAGCCAGTTGTTAGTAGACTTAAGCTAATAATTGAAGGAAAAATGGACTTGTTTAATACCTTCTGAATATCATACTCCATCTGGAAGTCTATTATGTCAGTTACCACACAGTGTCCGGTGAGAGAATGGCTCTTGAGTGCGGTGCCTCTTCAGTCAATAGGAAGGACTTACTGCAATTTTCAAGTTCTGTGCACAGTGAGTCTGAAGTGTATGGTTTTTGTCCCACTTCTTTAGGAAAAGCTGGAGAGAATTAATGATGCCCTTTCCAGTGAGTATGAATGCCGGCGGCGGATGCTAGTGAAGCGATTGGACGTGACGGTGCAGTCGTTCGGGTGGTCGGAGCGGGCCAAGGTGAGACTGCTTCCTGCACTGTCCTGTTGTGCCTGGGCTGCCCCCTGACCGTGCTGCCCCCTGACTGTGCTGCCCCCTGACCGTGCCGTGTGTGTGTGTGTGTGTGTGTGTGTGTGTGTGGCATTCCTCGACAGTTTTGTTTAGGTATAGGAAGGGGCTGCCTGTGAGCCAGTGGGTAGAGTGAAAGCACACCACAGGAGCGGGCACCGGTGTACAGACCTCTGGAAGGTTCTCCGTGTTGTTGTTTTGGTAGTTTTCGGGATCCAACCTAGGACCATGCACTTGCTGGACAAGCACTCTACCACGTGAGCTATGTCCTCCTGCCCTTTTGTTTTTTATTTTTTAGATAGGATCTCGCTAACTTTGCCTGGCCTGGCTTTGAACTAGAGATCCTTCTGTATCTGCTCCCCTGTAGCTGAAATCACACGTATGTATCACCACACCTGGCTCTGAACAGATTTTCTTGAAGTTCTTTTTTCCCCTAGTCCTGGGGAGTTGCACTCAGGGCCTCATGCTTGCTGGGCAACTCCTGTACCTTGGGAGCCCTGACCGATATTTCCTGAGTGAGAGCTGTGTGGGATTATTCAGGAGGAAGGGGGTGGTGAAGCGAGGGCTTTCCAGCTCTGAAGATCTGAGGATCAGGAGAGCTTCTACATCCTCCCTGCCCCTTGCACCTCGGCCTGGCAGTGCCCGGGGGCCAGCCCCTCCCATCTGTTAAGGAGCGCCATCCTGGGCCTCCTGAGTAAAAATCACCAGAAAGGGACACTTTAACACCTAAGTCCTCAGCACCCTGGAGCGACCACTACGCAGGAAGCAGTTTTACACTGCTGACCAATGCCCAGATGAACCTGCCAGTCTTCTCAGTCACCAGAATATGTTTCGTTGCTGGATTAACTTTAGATTTTCCACCCTCCCCAGACCATTCCAGCAGGGTTGCAGTGAGGGGGACACTCTCCCCAGGGTCCACCTAGAAACTCTGTGCTGTTCGCCATTCATTCTAGTCAGGCTTTTCCCTTTCCCGGTATTGATGGATGCTTTTAAAAGACCTGCACTTGTTTATGGTAAAACTTTTTAGCTGTGTTTACATTTTGTTAATATGAACAGAATCTTTTGTGTTTTTTTTCCCTGTCTTACTGGTGGTCATTATCATTATCTTTGGGTCTGTTTTTTCCTTCTACATACAAATTGTCCTTGGGTATTTGGCTGCTTTTACTTTCTTCCGTCTCTTTGCTTGTGCATTACATGGTGTTTTCTTCTTCCTGAAGATTAGAATTGCTATTGCTCTTTAAATTCACTTAGTTCATTTTCACTCTCATCTTGGTTGTGTAGGTGAAGACAGATAACATAGCGAGGATTTACCAGCCTAAGCGATATGCCTTGTCACCCAAGACAGCGGTGACCGTGGCGCACCTGCTGGCTGCTCGGGAGGACCTGTCCAAGATCACCCGGACCAGCAGCGGCCGCAGCCGGGAGAAGACGGCGTGTGCCATCAACAAGGTCCGTGCTCCTCTTGCCTCTGAAGCAAGGGTGTGTGTGTGTGTGTGTACGTCTGAGTGTGTACACTGGAGCTTCTGTGTTTATAACTTAAACCACAGTTGTATCTGAGCCATGGAGGGACTCAGGACCGTCTTTATCAGTAGCTTCTCGGAGTGGTTGGCTATTCTGCAGTGAGGTCATAGGATTGAAAGGAATGGTTGCAGAGTGGCTGCTCTGAGTAGCTTCAGCCTGGGTTCCCGTGTCCGAGCTGTGGTTTCTGATGCTGATTTCTGGACCATGTCCCTAGCAGTAGCAGTAATGAGTGTAGAAGGCCAGTAGCAAAAAAGCCAAAAGTCAAGGAGACAGCTCATTTAAAGTATTTTTTTCTCACTCTGTCTACCTCATCTCCTGCTCTGGAATGGTTAGGCTTTTCTCTTTGTTTTTGTTTTGTTTAATATATTTTTAAGGAAATTATCCTTGCATGGTTCTACATACCAGGTTCTGACAGAGTGCCTTGATTCGTGATGGCTTTTGTGTTGCTGAGGTGGGCAGCCCTGCTTCCCGTGCCTGTTTGACCTCGCTCTGGGAGTGGTCGCTCTTCCCTAGAGTTATCTGGTGTCTTGCACTGGATTAGAACCCAAATATCATCTTGCAGGGTCAGGTTCTGGCTCCCAGTTTGTGATTCTTTTAGGTGTCTAGGTCAGTCCTCAGAGCCTCTCTCAGTCCCTGTCTAACTGAGGAGATCAGCTACTCAGGCCTGGGAACATCAGCTTTTCCCTACTCTACCCGTTACCATGTTCTGGAGATGAATTCTTTCTCTGTTTTGGGTTGTGGGACTGGGGATTGAACTCAGTCCTTCACATCTGCCAGACAGGCCCTCTAGCACATAAGCCACGCCCCTGGTCCTTTGTACTTAAGTTATTTGGGGGATAGAGCTTTGCTTTTTGCCCAAACTGGCCTAGGCTACTGCCTTCTATTCAGTAGCTGGGCTTATAGTCATGACTCACTGCCCAGTGGTTAGGATGGGATCTTGCCAGGATCGTGCCTGTTCTGAGCTCTATGACCCTCCGATCTCCACCTCCCAAGGAGATGTTTATTTTCCTTATAAAGTTGAGTATCCCTTATCTGACATGTTTAGGACCATAAGTATGTCAGATTTTGGGTTGTTCCTTGATGTGTTCACAAATGAAGTATCTTGGGAATGGGACCCATGTTTAAGCACGCTATTTGTTTCGTGTCCACTTTGTGCACATAGCACATGTCATACCACGATTCCAGTGTGCTGTGCTTTAACTGCACTGACACAGAGGCCAGCTGTGGAATTTCCCATTTGGGAAGCCATGCCACAAGGGAAGTTTTGGATTTTGGGGCATTTTCCATCTTGGATTTTAGGGTTCAGGGTGTTATGGTATCATAGTGACCATGACTTTACCCAGCCTGAGCCTAAGATGAGATGCTCAGTCAGTACGTGTGCTGCCGAGGCGAGCACATGATGACACTCAGAAGGAAGGCGTGGTTGAGTGGGAACCCTTCCATGCCGTGGCTGGCTGCCACCTCTGTGTCTGAGGCATCCACGGCCACACAGAGGGGGAGCAGCCTTTTTGGGTGACCGGCGTCATGGCGTGGGCGCGGGCTGTCCAGGGCTGTCCTCCTTGTACGGTGGATGGATGTGGTTCGTTAGTGAGCACCGGCAATGCCCTGTCGGAAAGAATTTCTTAGCGTGATGGATATACTACTTTTGTTACAGAACTTGGTGAACTTAAACAAATGAGAGAAAATTAACAAGTCCTTAAGTTTCAGACAGCCTACCAGATGGTTTAAAAGTAACATCACACTCTGAGGACTCCGTCATTTATTTCCAGGCTTCGTTCACGTCGTGTCTGGTGCTTTAATGTTAAATATCTGGCTTCTGTTTCTTTATGGGAACAATAGCTTCAGTGTCAGTTGGATTATGTAAATTTTAACTTTCAAGCTGTTCGAAACTGAAAGAAAGCGTTTCTTCCCGCAGGTGCTGATGGGGAGGGTGCCTGACAGGGGCGGACGGCCCAATGAGATCGAACCTCCACCCCCTGAAATGCCCCCTTGGCAAAAGAGACAAGAAGGCGGCGGAAGGGGTGGCTGGGGAGGTGGGGCTGGGGGAGGTGGCGGAAGAGGGGGGTGGCGGTGGAAGGGGTGGCTGGGGAGGGGGGCGGGGTGGGGGAGGAGGGTGGGGAGGGGGTGGGGGGGGAAGAGGAGGCTTCCAGGGCAGAGGAGAGTATGGCGGAAGAGGGGGCTATGGGGGAAGAGGCTACGGGGACCCGTACGGAGGTGGTGGTGGAGGAGGGTACAGGAGATACTGAGAGTCAGTAGCCTCTGAGCTGGGCTCCTTAGGCTGGTGTTCAGGTCGCCGGCTGGAACGTCATCCTGAAGCAGACCTCACTCAGACCTCCCGCCGTTTGAGCCGGCAGTGCTTGCTCTGCACTCTGTACTGGGACATGGGGCATGCAGTGTCTTTTTTTTTTTTTTTTTAAACTATTCCTCCAGACACACATTTGTTCATTTATTTACACCCAAATCAATGAACACAATGCTGAAAATAAACACGCATCAATTAGATAATACATACTTACAAAAACCTTCTGTCCGTTACAATTCATGAATGCAAACAGACTTTCCATTCACCCTTAGTGTATCATAAGAAAAACAGGGAAGGAAAGTAATGAATTTAATGTTATTCAGCACCTTTAGTAAAGTCAAAATTTAATATCTTCGTATATCAAAAAAGTGTGCATCCATATCACCAAACATGTAAAAAGTATTACATAAATTTTAACATTTAATTATTGTGTACATACAAGAAAGTCCATGAAAAAGCTAAAGAAGTGGAGTCAAAAGGCTCAGGCAACATTACCAAATTTAGCAAAATTCCAGCCCAATCAAGGCTAACGTGAACACAGAGATTCCAGTAATAAACGTCAATATGAGAGATGAGGCTTAAACCAGCAACCGAAAATACATTTTAATAGGCATGATATATGCAATGCTTTCGTAACAGTCACAACATTGTCATGTATGAGCTGCCTGGTGTGATCACGGGGTAAAGGGATGTTTTAGGAGTGAAGGAGTTGATTTCAAAACTGCATTTGAGCAGCCATAATTTTATTTTCAGTTAGAACACAGTAAATGTTAAAAGAAAAATTTATAGTTAGCTAAATAATACCCCAAACTAGAAAATTAAAAATCTCATGCTATTCTAGCAATAACAGCCTCTAGTAGATGTAGTCTGATGTAAGAATTGTGAAAGCCAATAATAAGCTGACATCCACATGGGCTTAAAGTCCACTGACATATGTAGTGAGGAAAATGTGTGAAAAAGGGCTGGGAAGGTGGCTCAGTGGTAGAGTGCTTGCCTTGCATGCCTGAGGCCCTGGGTTCGATTCCTCAGCACCACATAACCAAGAAGAAAAAAAGCCGGAAGTGGCGCTGTGGCTCAAGTGGTAGAGCGCTAGCCTTGAGCTGAAGAGCTGAGGGACAGCACCCAGGCCCAGAGTTCAGACCCCACGACCAGACTCAAAAAAAAAAAAAGTATGAAAAAGTCATAGAAAAGTAAAAAGATAAAATTGAAAAACTATTGCACAGCCACATTATCTAGAAAACTTAAAGTTGATGTTTAGAAAGCTCTGCGCATGGATGATATAAATTATCTTCCATAAAAAAATGTGTAAGTAAGTCTTAGAACTTACTGACATCTACATTTAACATAATACATCATTTAAATCCCTGTTGGATGAGGTAATTGTCAAACCTCTAATAATGCTTTTATCTTACTGGAAATATTTGAGGGCAGCAACCAGAAAGAATTTCTCTAAAAATACCTTGAATCAAGAACGGCTCTATGAGCAGCTCTTCCAGTGGGTGAATTCGCTGTATTGGGCAATGCATTGATGACCTTGTATCGAACCAAATCACAGCCTTTGCTTTGTAGAGCTGGGTGAAACAGGTAGTGGATCGTTTCTGAATGGATTTGTCCTGACTGCTTGTCCTTTAAACCCGTTTTACACATTTCCATGCGGGCAGAAATGATAAGGAATGGAAGGTTCCGGTAGGGATTCAACCAGCACGACAGTTTTGAAATACTGAAGTCCTTTTACCGAGCTATAAGTAAAAATGTTTGAGGAGGGTCAGAGTAATCTCAACATGGCATTTGCAAAAGAGAACCTGATTTATTCCATTTTTGCATAAACCAGAGACCTGTGTTAACTAGAGCACTGCTATTGTAGAGTGTACCAAGGTGAGGTCCAGAGAGAAAAATACGAAGTTTGCTGAGGTATTGTTTAAACCTTGGCCTTGTAAGCACTGAATGAATTATTAAATTGCCCAATGAGTGTCCAATAAAGCTTATTTTTGAGACTGTTAGACTATATATTTGAGTATATTGTATTATTTCATCCAAAAGGCGATCAGTCATGCTCTCAAGATCAGCAAAAGAATCATTTTGATTTCTTTCAGACATAAGAAAAATCAGTTCTTCCTCTAGGCAGTCCAACTTCAATGTAAGTTTTTACCAGTCAAAGATCTGCACTGTGACCATCTAAACCATGCACACAGACAGTGAGTTGCACTCCATCTTTAGAGCCTTTGTCTTCTCCCATGCTGAAGTAAGGTACTGAAGATGCCAGCAGAGGGACATCACTGTACATGGATCCAGGGAGTTTAAATTGCTTCAATTCTTTTGCCTGAAGGAAGGCTTGTCTTTGAGGTTTTGGTGAATTTTCATATCAAGAAATTGAGGGTGTAAAGTTGTAAGGAATGCTGTGTGGCTGCTTTGTAATATGGCATCAGATTTACTTTTAGAAGAATACTTAAGACTACAAGGAGACTCGTGTTGCAGATGGAAAAGACACCCAGAAGTACAACCGTAGGCATATGCATCCCATTATTTGGATAATCACTGTTTACTTTTTCAGCTTTCCAAGTCCTCCTCCTGCTTCAGCACCTCTGCCTGCAGAGCAAGCACTTCCTGTCCCATCCAAAGTTGGATAATGTGTTTCTTCATAATACCTATTTTGAACCAGTTCTTGATCCTGTTCTTCCTCCTCATCCTCTTTGCTCTGTTCCTGCTGAAGGTTACTATTTCCTTTTTTACACATTTCCTTCCAAGAACTATCAGAACTGCAGAAGCTAACAAGACGTGCATCAGAAATACCTAGACTGCTCTGAGAGCCAAAATAATTTTCTACAAGCCCTTGCTTTACTAACATCAGCACTGGCCGAAAAAGACTCACTCACACTCACATGAGTTTTACTTTCAACAGCTGGGGTCCTGAAGAAATTTGAGATGTAATAGATCGTTACTTTTTCTTTCCACGGTTCTACCATCACGAACTTCTCCACTAGTAGAAATGGAACTGAAACAACACAAGCAGTCAGTGCCCAATGAAATCAGCTTTGAATTTAATGCAACTGCTGTTCCTGAGGGGTTACTATGCCCTATCAGGACTCTGGGAGTCTATAAATAGTGTCCAAGTTAGGTTTGGAGTTGCAGCTACCTTTCACACCACTGGAACTATCTTTATCTGAAAAAGCAAGTTGGAAAGGGTCTTTAGTGCTTGCATTTGAGGAATGTATTGTTCAAGTTTCACTGCCCAAATGCTCTGAAAATACAACACACTGCTGTTGCAAAATAATACTTGACTTTTTAGTATCACCATATTTTGGTAGACTTAGTACAGTTTGCTAGACTTAGTACCGTTTGCTATCTACTAGATGGCGTTCAGGTACAACAGATTCCTTAGAATTTTCATTGGGTGACAGTTCATCACCAGAAGGTAGAGAGTTTATAGGTATCAATGATGACTATCTCACGTAAAGCACTTGTACTCTCAGTGCAATGATTTCCTAATGAAAATGTTACATTATAATCAGGTTTCACCAAATGCTGAGGAAATAATCTTTCACTGAAAGGACCTTGTGCAGTTGCAAAGACCATCTTGGAGTTTGGATGGGTTGCAAGAAGAACTTGGCTCACTTTAAACACCTGAGTCTGAAAATCTAGAAGAGTCCTATGTGGCATTCATATCTGGTAACCTAATTGTATCTCCCACTTACTACAACATGATATTCTTCTGTAGAAGCAGCAGGTGGGTTACTTCTTAATTTAGCTAATGATTCTCCAACAGAACGGTACTTTGCTTCCTGCAGCTTCCTTTTCAACTATTGCTTCTGTATATTTGGATTTACCATCAGATTCTAAGAACTTAGAGTAGTAAATTATCCACAAATAGTTCTGTTTGTCCGGCGTCCTCTTTTTAGTTATTTCTCCCCATGGAAAGGATCTTTGTCACTGGACTTCAAGAGTTCTAAGATGGGGCTGTTTGATGACCATGGCATTTATCTGATGTGCTTCTGGATGCCAGGTTTTGTTCCATGGGTGTGGTTTCACTTGCAGATGGCAAGTTTACCTTCAATCGCTGAATCTAAATACCTATCTTGAAAGACTATAGGTAATGAATTGAGATCTCGTATCTAATTCACTACATTCAATAGGTAGGGGTGGAAGAGAACTGCAGAAGGAAGTGTTTTTGATACTGGTGCACATCTGTAGGTGACTCCGTGAAGTTCTTGGAATGCAATCGCAGTTTCCCTAGGCTGTTCAAAGCAAAAGAAAGCCACAGAAAATCGTGACCCCTCAAGGTCTGGTGTTCTTGTGCTAGTGATATTCTTAGTTCATGTAGTGTTAAAACGTCTAGAAATTGTCCCCATAAGGCCATCAGAAGTGAGCACAGTTGTGCAAGATTCATATTTCTAAGTTCTACAGATTAGGATTTTCTGTTTTCTTCACATATTTAAGTAAGTTGAGCTTCTACATCCATTTCCTGTACTATACAGGTATCTTTCTGGGTTCTTGACGGTTTTCTGAGAAGGCGCTCATATAGGACCTGCATGCTGGCCTCAGCCAGTTCTAGTTTCTGACAAGCGTGAATCTGCTGTTACCTTAATGAAGTAGCAGTGCAGTCCCTTGACAGCCAGTAGAAAAGTAGCACAAAGTGTCTGAGAATGAGGAGCATGGTGTAGGAGAGTGCGGTGTCTTGTGTAGTTAATGCCAAACCACACTTTCCAGTCTGGAATCCCAGTCTTTGTTTTGTTCTGGTGCATTTCTGTTTAACCAGGTAGTCTTCACAGGGTGAAGGAAGCTTACTAGTGGTTGGTGTAGCGCAATCAGTGACGTGTGAACTGTAACAGATACCACAGAAAAAGTGGATATAATCAAGCATGGCCTTCACATGATGATCAAGCCCTCAATAGAGGTTAAACTGCAGCTTCAAAGTCCAGTTACTTATTAGTTGTAAAGCACTCAGATCATCTGCCAAATAATCTCCATCTGTGAAGTGTAGATCCAAGGTAGAAAATGAATTTTCTAAAGGGTTTTTTCAGTCTTTGATCCAACAACATTTTGACTTTGAAGATCATTACATCATTTAAAACCACCTTGCCGGGCGCTGGTGGCTCACACCTGTCCTAGCTACTCAAGAGGCTGAGATTTGAGGATCGCAGTTCAAAGCCAGCCTGGGCAGGAAAGTCCGTGAGTTTCATTTCCAATTCACCAGAAAAACACTGTGGTTCAAGTGCTAGCCTTGAGCTGAATTGCTGAGGGACAGCCCCCAGGCCCAGAGTTCAAGCCTGATGACCGACAAAAAAAACAACCCTTCTCCCCCCACACAAAAAAACCCACCTCTGTTTTTGTACAGAATTTGAAATGTTTTAATCATGAACTAAAGTGGGAAAGGCTAGAGACACAACTGTTACGTGTAACAGACTGGCTTCTGCTCTGTGGGGAAATCTTGGTGGCATTCTCATTGTTGCATGAATCTGGTATAAAAACTCTGGAATATTCCGCATTGTAGAACTTGTTTAGCTCCACAAAAAAATTCCAGCATGGCTTGAACTTCACTCATTTTCAATTTATACTCAGAAGACAGATCTGGTAATAGCACCTCTGCTGATCAAAACTTCATTTTAACGTAATTTATACTTAATCTTGTTCTTTCAATTACTAATTCTTGTTAGGAATACATTGGTCCTCCCGACAAAGTGTAAATACAATGAAGAATTTACTGTTTGTGAGTTGTTTTGAGATTCCAAAACAAAATACACAATCCAGAAACCATCGCCGTGGCTCTGCCAATCATGCAGTGTCTTAAAAAAACAACAAAACCCACAAAAATTATTTTTTAAAATGTAAATATTTATTACCATTGAACTTGGAAAACAGAAAAGTATTTTGTCATGAATGAGTTTGGACTGTGGAATCGCATCAAGCTGTAACAGAGTCGGTTGCTTTTTTGTGCTCCTCTGATAGAAGAATGGTTTTAGGACACAGGGAAAGGGATGTCACCGTGTTTCAGTAGGTGACCGTTAGTAGTATTTCTATA